GATTTCTCTCAGGGCAGCGATGGCTTGGTCCATATACCCTCCGTCTCTGCTCCCTGGCTGGTGTAGAATTGCCGGAGATTTTTGCTGTCCCTTGCTAACGGAGGGGGCACAATTTTGGAGGCGTCCATGTCCCAGACCATGACCGGCAAGCAGGCCCTGCTTGAGATGTTGAAGGCAGAAGGAGTCGATTACATTTTCGGCAATCCCGGCACCAGCGAGGGACCCATCATCGATATGCTGGGGGACTACCCCGAGCTTCGCTACGTGCTGGCCCTTCAAGAAAGCGTGGCCATGGGCATGGGCGAGTCGTATGCCAGGGCAACGGGACGGGCCTCATTCGTCAGCCTTCACGTCGACAGCGCGGTTGGCCAACGGCATTGCCCTTATGCTGGACGCCCTCAACACCGGGACCCCGATGGTGGTTACCTCGGCCAACTACGACATCCGGAAGACCAATGAGACAATTACGGACCTTGCACAGCTGGTGAGACCGGTTACCAAGTGGGCCGTGGAGCTTTCGCACGCCGATCAGATACCCAGCGTCATTCGTCGCGCATTCAACGAGGCCAACACTCACCCCAAGGGTCCGGTTTACGTCGGCTTCACCTCCAATGCATTGGAGGGGACTGCTGAAATGAACATTGAGCCATCCCGTGCCAACTACGGCGATGTCCGGCCTAGCCAGGAGGGCATCGGCCGGGCAGCGTCGCTGTTGATGGACGCCAGCAGGCCGATCATGCTGGTTGGAGACCGCTTATCCGATGACGACGCCATCGAGGAGGCCGTCGAGCTGGCGGAGCTAATGGGTCTGCCGGTCTACCAGGCGCGGGGCGCTGAGGTGGCTTTCCCCACTCGCCACCCACAGTTCATGGGCCCCCTTTCCCTGAGGGTGGCCTCCCAGCGGGCTATTTTGCAGCAGGTGGACTATGTTCTCGCGGTGGGTTCCGATCCCTTCGAGGAGCTCTTTTACTGGGGCGACGTCATTCTCCCGCCGGAATCAAAGCTGGTCCACATCGACCCGGATGCCGGTCGCATCGGACGCTCCGAGCCCACCGACGTGGGAATAGTTGGAGATTGCAGGCTGTCCCTGATCGACCTTATGGCAGCGCTGAGGGATCGGCTGTCTCCCGGGGACATGAGTGAGATTGAAGAGCGCAAGAAAGGCGTGGTGGCCGATCGGAACCACGCTCGCGAGGCATTCGAGGCGTCTGCGGCGGAGAACTGGAACCACAAACCCATGACTCCGGCGCGGATGATGTACGAACTGGCTGAAGCACTCCCTGAGAATGCCATAGTGGTTGACGACTCCATCAGCAACCGCGGCGTGATGCGTCACTATTTCCAGGCCACGCGGCGCGGCGACATTCTGGGCGTTCGAGGCCAGTCCATTGGCGGAGGCATAGGTGCCACCATGGGCACTCAATGCGCCTACCCCGACCGCAAGGTGTTCGGCATCATCGGCGACGGCAGCGCCATGATGACGGTGCAGGGACTCTGGACGGCGGCCAACGATAACATCCCCTGCGTGTTCGTCGTCTGCAACAATGGCGCTTACCGGGTGCTCAAGGTGAACTTCAACACCTACCAGTCGGATGTGTTGCAGCTGCCCGAGACGTCGGGGGGCAGGCTCATGTACTCCGACTTCACCACGCCCTTTGACTGGGTCTCCATATCCAGCGGGCTGGGCGTGCCCGCCGAGCGAATCACCGACCCTTCGCAGATCAAGCCGGCCGTAGACCGTGCGGTGGCCTCGGGCAAACCGGCGCTGCTGGACATCGTGATCGACGGCTCCTTGTAACGGGTGAGAGACGGATTGTAGGGCGGCGCCCCGAGGCAGGAATACTCCGCAACAGAAAAGAGGTTCAGCAATGCGCACAAACACCACCAAGGCCAAGCTCAATGAGGGTAGTGTCGTTTTCGGGGCCATAATCACGCGTTACGCGCCGGACATGGTGGAGATCTTCGGAGCGTTGGGCTATGACTTCGTGATGATCGACTGCGAGCACGGTCCGGCGGACCTGGACCAGGTGGAGCACATGGTCCGTGCCGCCGAATCTTTCGGGTTCACGCCCATAGCCCGAATCCCAGACCACCATGAGCAGACGATCCTGCGCTACCTGGACCGGGGGCTGCAGGGCATCATTGTGCCACACGTCAACACCGGCGAGCAGGCGGCGGCCATCGCCCAGGCCGCCCGCTACTACCCGGACGGCAAGCGTGGCATGGGAGGCGGCAGAGCCCAGGACTATGGCATCGGCGTCACGCGAGACGAAGCCACATCCTGGATCAACTCGCAGGTGCTGGTGATTCCCATGGTCGAGGACATCGAGGCCGTCGGAAACCTGGACGACATCCTGCAGGTGTCCGGTGCCGACGTCTTGCACGTCGCCGCCTCAGACTTGGGCCAGAGCATGGGGAACCCGAGCGTCGCGGAAGTGCGGCGGGTCATGAGTGAAGTGATTCCCCGAGTACGGGCAGGTGGCAAGAGCGTCGGAGTGGGCGGGAACAACCCAGCCGATACCGCGGGCGTCGCCGAGTTCGTCAGGCAGGGAGCAAACTTCGTGACCGTGTCGGCTTGGGGACTGCTGCGGATCGGCGGCGAAAACTTCCTCAAGAACGTAAGGGCAGCGCTGTAGGCACCCGCCGAATCCTGGTGCCCCACCGGCGGGGACGTAGGTCAGGGGAACTGCGGCAATGCGGGCCTGGGACGGGGGCGCCGTGCTATGGCGAACAGCACGGCGCTGGCGGCGTACAACCCCGTGAGTATCAGCAGCGATTCAGTGTATCCGCCCTCCCGGTCAACCATCCAGCCCAGGAACAGCGGGGTCAGCATCATTCCCGCAGCTGTAGAACACCGAGATGATGCCGGTCAGCGTGGCAAAATTACGGCGGCGTCCGAAGAGGTTGCCCACCAGCACCCAGTTCAGCACCGCCGCCCCCTCCAGGATGGCCAGCCCGGCCACGAACGGGAAGATGATCCATGTCCCAGGTACGATGACCAGCACCATCAGCGATACGGCTCCCACTGCCATGCCGACTCCAAGAACCCCTTGACCCGGCAGCCTGAGTCCGGAGAAGCCGATGAGCAGCCGCGCCGGGATGGATACGAAGAATAGCAGCGCCATCAGATCGGCCCCGGCCTGCTCCGACGTTCCTTCCACACCATGATGGGGATGGCGTGTACCAGGATTCCACTGGTGACCGAGATCCGGAAGGCGCTGGCAAGGAGGATGAACCAGTAGGTCGGCGTGTGCAGCGCCTCCCGAACCGTGAAGTCCGTCCCTGATGACTGGGACGACGACGTCCCTGATGTCTGTTCCACCGCCTCGCCCACTTCGGCCAGGTCGATGCCCATACTCTCCGGCGAACGCCGGATGAAGAAGGCGAACGGTATCACGACCACGACTACGAAGATGCCAGTGTAGAGCATCACCTCGCGCCAGCCCAAAGCCTCCACACCCCGGGACAATATTGGAATCAGCATCGCCCCACCCGCTGTGTAGCAGGTGATGACCAGCGTCATTCCGATGGCGCGCCGGCGGACGAACCAGCGGTTGGTAACGGCCAGAAATGTCTGCCCGAACCCGCTGTTGTTGCCAATATTGAGACGACACCGACGTAGACCAGCACGAAAACCCAGTACCCGTCGACCCCGGCGAGGATGATGAGCCCCACACCGGCCATCACGCCGAATATGAGCACGATGGGCCGGGAGTCGAACCTGTCCACCATCCAGCCGACCAGCGGTCCGCCCACGCCGGCCTCGCCTCGCGACAGGGCGAAGATCAGCGAGACCTGCGTGTCGGTGAGCATCAACTCATCGCGGATGGGGATGTAGAAGACGGGAAAGCCGTAGGAGAAGATCGCGCCCGGGAACAGGGCCAGGAAGCAGCAGGCTCCGATCACCCACCACCCGGGATAGATGCCGATCAGCCGGTGCCGGAGACCGGCTATGGACGCCATCAGACGCGCATGCCCATATCAGGAACTACCAGCTCAATGTTCAGGGAAGGGGTGTCCGCAGAACGCACGCCGTTAACTCCGTTCGTTGCCGGTCACGCAGGATAACGTCAGCATAGCGCCGGAATCATACCACGCCAGCTGTTCTGAAGGCCGTAGGGGCCGATGCGCCTGCGGAGTCCAGAAGGTCTGCTCACCCGTCGCCGTCCTCTTCCTGCCGGCGTCGCAGCTGGTCCTCCAGCCGCCGCAGGGACTGCTGGGTGGCCCGCAACTCGCTGAGCAGGGAGTCGGCGGTGGGGGCTTGCTCCAGCTGTTTGCAGACGCTCCTGCTTGGCCTCATCCAGGTTGTTGATCACCACGGCGATAAATAGGTTGATCACGACGAAGGTGCCGAAAACAACGAAGCTGACGAAGTACATCCAGGTCAGCGGGTGATACTCCATGGCCTTGTACATGATGTCGGTCCAGTCCTCCAGGGTCACCACCCGGAACAGGCTGAGCAGGGCGATGCCCAGGTTGCGCCAGTGCTCCGGGTCGTGCTCGTGGAAGAGCTGCCAGCCGATGATGGCGTAGACGTAGACCATCAGGCTCATCAGCGCCAAGATGTGCAGCATCCCGGGGATCGAACGCACCAGCGTGGCCACGATTAAACGTAGTTCCGGCACCGCGGAGACCAGCCGCAGCAGTCGCAGCAGCCGGGCCATCCGGGCGATGACGGCGATCCGCCTGTGGCCGGGATCAGCGAAAGTACGATGATGGAAAAATCAAAGATATTCCAGCCGTCCCGGAAATACCGGTCCGGTCGGGGATACTGCGCAAAGATCTTCATCGCCGCCTCGGCGATGAAGATTCCCAGCGTGATCCTGTGGCCCAGTTCGATCCAGCCATTGAAGCTGTCCGTCACTGGGACACCTGGTGCTCACACCCCTAGGAGAACCGCGTTGGCCAGGATCAGGGCGACTATGAAGTATTCGAATCCGTGGAATTTCGTGAGCCGGTGGGAGAGGTCGCGCAGCGTGTTAACCATGGCCGGGATTCAGCTACCTCCCACCCAGGCCGGGATCTTCGCTGTCACTCAGCTTTTCCAGTGGGGCGAAGCTCAACAGCAGCCGCTTTGCTCCGACGCCCCCTGCGAATTCCACCGTCACCTCAACGTCCGACGCCGTAACTTCGCAGGCCATGACGATGCCGTCGCCGAAGGCACGGTGTCGCACCGGGTCGCCCACCTTCAGCGCCGGTCCGGATGATGGTGCCACAGACGCAGCCGCCAGCGCCGCTGCCCGGATGGAGCTGCCTCCGCCGGGCTGGGGAGAAGTAACTGTACGTGCAGCGGTGGAGGACAGCGCCGCGGGGACCAGCAGGTCTTCCGGAATCTCGCGGAGGAACCGGGAAGCGGCTGCCGGCCCCCCGCTTCCGCCTCGAAAGTTCCGCCGGAAGGCGCGCATCAGGTACAGACGCTGTTCGGCGCGAGTCATCCCGACGTAGCACAGCCGACGCTCCTCTTCGGTCTGTTCTTCGCTGTCCAAGGAACGGGAGTGGGGCAGCAGGCCCTCTTCCATCCCGACGATGAAGACCACCGGGAACTCCAGCCCTTTGGCCTGATGCAGGGTGATCAGTGTGATGGAGTCCTCGGCATCCTCCAGATCGTCCACCTGCGAGACCAGCGATGTGCGCTCGAGCAGAGACCCTAACCCGTCGGGCGGAGTTTCGGCGTTGAATTCCTGGGCGATGCCCCGGAAGTCCATCACGTTCTCCCAGCGTTCCTCGGGCCGCTCGTCGCTTTCCTGAATGTGCTTTTGTAGGCCCGACTCCGAGAGCAGCACGTCTATGAGCTTGACGACCTCTGCCTCGCGGCTGATGGCCACCAGCCGTTCGATGAGGTCGACGAATTTGGCGATGGATGAAGCGGCGCGGGATGGCAGGGACACGGGGCTGGGCTGCTTGTTTCTGCTGGCTAAGGTGATTTCCCGCATGGCGTCGAACGTGGAAACGCCGCGGCCGGTGGCCCACTCCCCTAGCTGCTGCATGGACTTGGCGCCAAGGCCCCTCGGCGGGACGCTCACCACGCGGGCCAGGGTCTGGTCGTCCTGCTGGTTGTAGACCAGCCGGAGGTAGGCGGTGAGGTCCCTGATCTCCTTTCTCTGGTAAAAGCGGGTGCCGCCCACCAGCCGGTACTTCACCCCCTGCTGCAGGCAGGCCTCCTCCATAGCGCGGGACTGGGCGTTCACCCGGTACATCACGGCGCAATCACCCAGCTTGAAACTCTCCTCACGGGTGAGCCGCTTGATCTCTCCGATTACCTTGCCGGCCTCCTCGTCCTCGTCGTAGGCCTCATCAACCCGCACGGGCTGTCCCGTGGAATTGTCGGTGAATAGCTGGTGGTCGAGGCGCTTACCGTTGGACTCGATCAGCCCTTTTGCGGCGTTCAGTATGTTGGCGGTGGAGCGGTAGTTCTGGCCCAGCGAGATGACCTTTGCCCGTGGGTAGTCGTTCTTGAAGTTCAGAATGTTTCGAACGTCGGCGCTGCGCCACGAGTAGATGGACTGGTCCGGGTCGCCCACGACGCAGAAGTTCTGGTGCCCCTGCGACAACTGGCGGGACAGCTGGTACTGCGCCACGTTGGTGTCCTGGAACTCGTCCACCATCAGGTAGCCGTAGCGGTCCTGGTACCGCTGCAGCACCACGGGGTATTCCCGGAAGAGCTGCACGGTCCGAAGCAACAGGTCGTCGAAATCCACGGCGTTGTTGCGGGCCAGCAGTTCCTCGTAGTGGCGGTAGACCCGGGCGCATACTTCCTCGAAATAATACCCGGCGGCATCGCGGGCCATGGCCTGTGAGTCCTGCAGCACGTTCTTGGCCCGCGAGATCGCCGACAGCACTGCGCGGGGCGGGTACCGTTTGGGATCATAGTCCGCTTGCCCCAGGCACTGCTTGATTGCCGAAATCTGGTCGTCGTCGTCGAATATGGAATAGTTTCTGGAAAGGCCGATAAAGTCGCCCTCTATCCGCAGCAGCCGGGCGCAGAAGGAATGAAAGGTGCCGACCGTGAGCGCCCCCGCGTGGGGACCTGCAAGACGGCCGAGACGGTCCGTCATCTCCCGCGCCGCCTTGTTGGTGAACGTCATGGCGAGGATGCTGTAAGGACTGACCCCGTACTCCTGCACGAGGTAGGCGATTCGATGGGTGATCACGCGTGTCTTGCCGCTGCCCGGTCCGGCGATGATCAGCAGCGGCCCGTCCACCGTTTCCACGGCCTCGCGCTGGGCCGGGTTCAATCCTTCCAAGAGGTTGGCAACCTGGGTCATTGAAAAGCGTCTCCGTCAGATTTCCCGTTTGTTCAGGGGAACTTGATCATAGAGCGGCGCTATGAGTTCGAATCAGGACGCCGCCCTCGTGGTGCAGAGTCTCGACTACCCCAGCGCGGCGAGCACTTCCTCGCTGTTGGAGATGGTGGACAGGAAGGGCAGCGCCACTGTCAGCGAGGAGTCGTGTGCCTCCTGGCTCACCGAGGCGCAGCAGTCGCCAACGATGACCGCGTTGTAGCCCCGGTCACTGGCCTCGCGGGCAGTGCCCTCGACTACGAAGTTTGTGGCCACGCCAGCCAGCAGCAAGGTGCCGATGCGTTTGTTCTTGAGGATCGGTTCCAGGTCCGAGGCCATGAACGCGGAGACGCCGCGCTTCGTCACCACGGGCTCGCCCTCCTGCGGGGTCAGGGCGTCGTGGATCGATGCGCCCCAAGTGCCCTCGACCAGTGCGTTGGCACCATGGAGACCCTGCCACAGCCCCGCGTTCGCCGGGCGCTCGGGATAGCCGGGGCGGAATTTCACCGAGACGTATATGACCAGGATGCCGGCATTGCGGGCGGCGGCCAGCACCTGGGCCGTCTTGCCCAGCACATCGTTGTCCTTGACCATCTGGGCAAATCCGAAGTCCTTGAACGCGCCTTCCTCGTGGACGATGTCGTTCTCGAAGTCCATGAGCAAAAGGGCGGTATGTCCAGAGTTGAGATCCAAGGCCATGACGTCCTCCATTGAGACGAAGAGTGTTTCGTGTTAGGTGGTGATGGACCGCGCATCATTATAATACGACATAATGCGTCTTTGGCCCGGTGTAGGCGGCCGCGGCCCAGTCCGTGGCTGAAATTGCGGACAGTTGCCCCTTGCCAAGCCTCATGACACTTCCCTACCATCGAAGATGGCTGTCTCGAAGCCCCGCAAATCCAAAAAGTGCAACCGACGAATAAGGGGGCATCCTTGGCCGACTGGCATGGCCTTAACCTCGACGAACGACAACCGGACGCAGAGCCGGCCCCCAACCTGACTGGTGGCCGGGAAGGAGCCGAGGAATCGGAAATTTTCTGGCAGGTCACACGAAGTTTCGGACCCTCATCACCCCCGCAATTCACATCTGCGAAAGTTTCACATCCGGACGCAGTCGGGTCCCGGCAGAGGCGCGAATGGCAGGGAATGTCAGGGAATGTCAGTGATTTCATACCCCCTGCCCTGACTTCACTCCGGGTAGAAACCCTCCCCAGGTGCCACTCCGGCCAAGGGTCAATGATGTTCATTGGCAACACCCGCAGCAAGAGGAGATGGTTTGCCCAAGCGAATCGGAATGATGCCATGTCGGACCCGTTCTGAACCTCGTTAGGCGGGCGAATGTTATAATGGTTAGTCGGCGCTGTCCGACGATATTAGATTACCTACTGATCGCATTTCGCCGCGCACCGTTGCAGTCTCCTCAGGTCAGGCAACCTCAAACCAAACGGTCCAAACCCTTCAAGGACGTGTCATGCTGAAAATCGAACCCCAGAACCTTCGCACCCCCGGCCCCACTCCCATTCCCGACGACATCGTCGAGGCCATGGGCACTCCGATGATCAACCATCGGGGTCCCGAGTTCGACGAACTGATCAAGAAGTGCACCGCCCAGTTGAAACAGGTCTTCATGACTGACAACGACCTGTTTATCCTGACGGCCTCCGGCACTGGAGCGTTGGAAGCCGCTCTGGTAAATACCCTTTCCCCCGGCGACAAGGTCGTGGCGGCCACGGCAGGGTCCTTCGGCGACCGCTTCATCGATATGGCGGAAGCCTTCGGCGCCGACCTCACCCGCCTTGATTTCGAATGGGGAGAGCCAATCGATCCCGACGCCATCCGCCAATCCCTCCGGGATGACCCGGAGATCAAGGCGGTGATGGTCACACACAACGAGACTTCCACCGGCGTGACCCATCCGCTGGAGGAGATCGCCCGCATCGCCAAGCAGGAATTCAACAAGCTTCTCTTGGTCGACGCGGTCAGCAGCCTCGGCTGCCTCCCCCTCCCCGTCGATGCCTGGGACTGCGACCTTGTGGGCACCGCCTCGCAGAAGGGCTTCATGATTCCCCCCGGACTGGCCTTCATCAGCGTCAGCGACCGCGCTTGGGAGGCCCAGAAGACAGCCTCCATGCCCCGGTTCTACTTCGACCTGGAGGAGGCGAAAAGGACGCTGGAGCGGGGCCAGACCCCCTTCACGCCCAACGTGCCGCCATGTACGGGCTGAGCGTGGGGCTGGACAAGATAATGGAGGAGGGCCTTGAGGGAGTTTTCGGGCGCCACGCTGCCATCGGCCAGCTCACCCGAGACCGGATCCGCGAACTGGGCCTGGAGTTGCTGGTCTCCGACGAGCGCTACGCCTCGAACACCGTTACGGCGGTGAAAATGCCGGAGGGCATCGACGGTCGGGCCCTGATGGGCCGGATGCGCACGGAGAAGAACGTGGTGCTGGCCGGCGGGCAGGGCAAGCTGAGTTCCAGCATTTTCCGCATCGGACACCTGGGCCACGTCACCGAGGACGATATCGAAGAAGTTATCGACGCCCTCAAGGATCTGCTGCCCGAGGTGGGATTCAGGGCCAGCTAATTCCAGCAATTCTCGATCCTCGATAGGGGCGCACTTTCCTGCGCCCCTGTATTATTGGGGACAGATACGAACCGATAATGTCCCTTGGAATGGAGCCGGAGTCGTAAAGTGTCCGTTTCTCAACTGGAACAGGCCATGGCCAACCTCCGCATTGGCCTTGCCGAAATGGAAAATAAAGAGGCGCAGCTCGACGCCCAGATCTCCCAGTTTCGTCAACAGCTCCGCCGGGTCCCACGCCAGGCCATGTACGGTCAGGCCAGCCTGGACACCTCTCTGGCCGCTATGGGCGAGATCGAGGAACGCCTGGTCGATGCCGAAGCTGTCCGGCGGCGCCTCCTCCAGATCAAGGCCTCAGCTTCGCAGGAACTGGAGGCCCTGATCGTGCTCAAGCAGGTGGATGAGGCACGCACCAAGCTGGCCGGCCTGAAGCGGAGCGGCGCCACCGACGATTCAACGCTGACGGAAATCCGGCAGCTGGAGGAGTTCCTAGCCGTCCAGGGCAAGCGAGCCGAGCAGGCAATCACGGCCGGGTACGAGAAAAGAATCTAGCCGGGGACAAGGCAGGCTGACGAGGGAAAAGAAAGAGGGGCGCACAACTGGGCGCCCCTGCTTATCCCGCCGAAAAACCAACGCCCTGAGGACGCCCTATATCTCCCCGTCAATCCGGTTGATCACCAGCCCCGTGGGCAGCTTGGGGTAGAAGAACGTCGATTTGCGCGGCAACCGCTGGCCCTGCCCAACAATCTCCTGGAAGGCGTCCATGGGAAAGGGCTTCAGGAAGAAGGCCATTTGCAGCGCGCCGCTGGCCACCCCCTGAGCGGCTTCCTCGTGGTCGTGCAGGAAGCCCAGGTGCTGTAGCGTGGCCTCGCCCAGTTCCGGGCGCAGCACCTGTTCCTCCAGCACCCACGCCTCGGACACGGCCAGCGAACCCCAGTCAGTGCCGACCGCTGAGTCCCGCAGCGTTAGCAACTGCGCCCCATCGGGGGTGACCGCCGCCATTACCCGGCCCGTACGGCCACGCTCTTCGACCAGCGCAACCAGATCGTCTGCCGAGAGATTGCCCGCGGGTTCGGCTTCAAAGACCTCGGCAAGGCGCGACTTAACCCGGGCCAACTGCTCCGAGCTGAGGCCGCTCAGGTTGCGGTGATAGGGCAGTACCACCAGCCCAGGATCGTCGAAGGCAATCAGGGTCATCATCACGTAGTTGTGGGCGAGAGATACGGCGCTTGCTCCCTCTGAGTGGCGGGCCATCCGATAGTGGCGGGACGCCTCGTAGCGGTGGTGCCCGTCGGCCAGGAATACCGGCCGGTTGGCAAAGAAACTGGATATCGCATCCACATCACGTGCTTCCGAGATTCGCCACAAAGTCGTATCAGAGCCGTACTCATCGCTGGCGTCGACCTCCGGGTCGGCGGACATCACCCGCTGGAACACCGGCTCGAGCTCGTTGTTGGCATCCTGATAGAGAGACATTATCGGGCTGATGTTGGCCGATACAGACTCCATCAGCGTAACCCTGTCCCGGATGGCCGGCGCCTCGGTGAACTCGTGGGGCAGCACCTGCCGGGTGTCGTAGTCCTCGATACCGACGCAGGCGATGAGGCCCAGCCTTGACCGCTCGCGCCCACCCATGCTGAATCCGTGGCGCAGCAGGTAGTAGGCGGGTTCGGTCTCCTGTTGCAGCACACCGTCCTGGAGCCACTGTTCGAACCGCTCAGCAGTCTCAGCGTAGCGTCCTGGCGAGTCGGCGGACCAGTCCAGCCCCTCTCCTGCCTCGAGGTGGATGACATTCAGGGGATGCCGGTCCATCAGAGCCTGCTGGATCTCCGGAGTGATCAGGTCGTAAGGAGGACACAGTACGGCGGCGATATCGTCAACCACCGCCGGGTTGTACCGCCACCCACGAAAGGGAGTAACTTTAGCCATCAGCGCACCTCGCCTGCTGGGACGGAGGCCCGTGTATGACTCCGTTCCCTTGGCAGGCACTTCTGCAATTTTGACTAAAGTATAGGTTCAAGAAAACGGTATCGCAAAGCCAACCGGGTTTAGGAGCGGAATCACCCGTATGGTATACTGGCGACCGGTTTGAACGGTTGGAAATCAAGCAAATCCCTGCTGCGAGGAAGACTCCCATGCCCGGTGCGATCACCCCAGTTGATGGCGGCACCATTACGTCAGTCCGCGGGTTCAAGGCCGGCGGCACCTATGCCGGAATTAAGACCTATTCCGACGACAAGATGGACGTCGGAATGCTGCTCTCAGACACGCCCTGTGCTGCGGCTGGGGTGTTCACCAAGAGCAGCATCGTGTCTCCGTCAGTAACCGTCAACCGCGAGACGCTGGCGGGGGGACAGTCCATCCGTGGACTGGTAGTCAACTCGGGCATAGCCAACGCAGGCGTGGGCGAGCAGGGCTACATTGATGCCAAGGAAATGGCGGTCGTTGCCTCGGGGGCCTTGGGTGTAAAGGCCGAAGAGCTACTGGTTTTCAGCACCGGCATCATCGGCGTGGAATTGCCGATGACCCTTATCAGGTCGGGCGTAGAGCAGATCGAGCTGTCCGGGTCCGGCGGCAACCCTCTGGCCAGGGCCATGATGACAACGGACACTCACCCCAAGGAAGTCGCGGTAACCGTCGACATCGGAGGTACGGAGGTCCGCATCGGCGGCGTGGCCAAAGGCTCGGGCATGATCCACCCCAACATGGCCACCATGCTGTGCTTCGTTGCCACGGATGCGGCCATCGACCAGGGACTACTGCGGTCCATGCTTCCGGACGTGGCCGACTACTCGCTGAACATGCTCACGGTCGATGGAGACAGCAGCACCAACGACTCGCTGGTCGTGCTGGCCAACGGAACCGCGGGAAACGCCACCATCACCGCCGGGACTCCCGAGGCCGACGCGTTCCGGGCCGGGCTGCTGGAGTGCTGCGTGCAATTGACCCGGATGCTGGCCCGCGACGGCGAGGGGGCGACCCACCTGCTGGTAGTCGAGGTCGCCGGCGCCCGGACCAGCGAGGACGCCCGGGTTGCGGCGCGCACCATTGCATCGTCGCTGCTGGTTAAATCGGCAGTCTACGGCGCCGACCCCAACTGGGGCCGCCTGCTCGCCGCCCTGGGTCGCAGCCAGGCCGAAGCGGTCGAGGAAAAGATCGATCTGTTTATCAACGGCGTCTGCATCATGGAGGCCGGCAAGCCCATCCCGTTCCACCGAGACGCAGTGGTGGCGCTTATGCGGGGCGACGAGGTCACTTTCCGTATCGCCCTGAACCTGGGCGATGAAGACGCCACCGCCTGGGGCTGCGACCTGACCGAGGAATACGTCGTTATCAACAGCGCCTATACCACCTAGACCGCTGACACCAAATAGCTCCTTAGAATCTGTCTACGATCTGTTTGATATGTTAAGTTGAGACTATTACCAAGGCAGGGTAATCATGTCTCATTCCTATCCCAGCGACATCAGCCGGGAGCAATTCGCCCGGATTCTTCCCATGCTGGAATCGGCCCGACGGCGGACCAAGCCCCGCACCGTGGATCTGTACGACGTCTTCTGCGGCGTGCTCTAACCTCCTCAAGAGCGGCTGCCAGTGGCGGATGCTCCCAGCGACTTCCCCGCCTGGCGCACCTGCTACAAGTATTTACGGCAATGGAGTGAGCGCCCTGCCCGGAGGAAGAGTCCATTCTGGAGCAGGTCTTAAAAAGAATCGGTTTGCGCGGTCCGGCAGAGCATGGGCGGACAGAGCAGACCAGCTTCTGCCTCGTGGACTCCCAGAGCGTAAGAACACCGACAGCGCGAGAACAAGGGCTATGACCGCGGGCAAGAAGGTGTCCGGATCAGCGCCACGTCGCGGTGGACAGCCAGGGGTTCCCCATGCGATTCATGTGACCACGCCGATGTTACCGACCGGCCGGGGCTTTGGCGATGTTTGAACAAGCCGAGCCGACCTGAGCCGGGTGCAGAATGTGATGGTCGACGGGGGTTACAACCGGGAAGCCCTTTGCTGCGGAGGTGCAGAACTGTTGGGAGCCTCGGTGGAGGTGGTGAAACGCAACGAACTGCACACCTTCGTGGTGCTGCCGAAACGATGGGTGGTAGAGCGGTCTTTCGCCTGGCTGGAGAAGTGCCGCCGACTATGGAAGAACTGCGAGGGAAAGCTCAATACCAGCCTGCAAATGGTGGTTCTCGCCTTCGCGGTGCTAATCCTTAAGAGATTGTAAACAGGCTCTTAGAATAGAGACCGCAGAGACGATCGTTCAGCACGCCATTCTCTGGGGTCTCTTGCATTTGTTTGCATTTGTTGACAAGATTCCAATAACAGGAGCGATACCCTGTCCATCGTAGTGAAAATAGGCGGCAGCACCCTGGGCAGCCACGACACCACGTTGGTGGACCTGGTGAAACTGCAACAGGAAGGCACCGAGGTCGTAGTGGTGCACGGGGGCGGCAATGTCATCTCCCGCTGGATGCAGCGCCAAGGCATCGCGCCGCAGTTCGTTGGGGGATTGCGGGTTACCGACGCCGAGAGTCTGGAAATCGTGGTTGCCGTCCTGGGCGGGCTGATTAACAAGGAGCTCGTCTCGCTCATGGAGCAACTCGGCGGCAAGTGCATCGGCCTGAGCGGGATCGACAACCGGATGCTGACCTGCGGAATCGCCAACCCCGAGCTTGGCTACGTGGGAGAGATACAGTCCGTCGACACCGGGCCCATACGCGCGTTGCTGGACTCCGGCTACATTCCAATGATCGCGCCGCTGGGTGTCCACAAATTTGACGGCTCGGAGAACGCCGGCAAGCCGCTGAACATAAACGGGGACACCGTGGCCGGCGAACTGGCCCGCGAGTTGCAGGCCGATAGGCTGGTGTTCCTGACGGACGTGGCGGGCGTGATGGACAGTGGTGGGCGCGTCATATCGCGCTTGGACCAGCGCCGTGCCAACATGCTGTTGAACTCCGGCGTGGCGGGCGGCGGTATGATTCCCAAGCTCCAGGCCTGCCTGCGTGGCCTTGAGGGCGGTGCCGTCGCCGACATCATTGACGGCCGCCACCCCAACGCCCTGGTCGACTGCCTGCAGGGTCGGAATACGGGCACTACGATTACACCCGCACCGCGCGGGCGCTGATCAGGGCGACTCCGGGAGAGGCCATGGCGCCGCAACTCCCAGCCTGTTCCAGTCGCAAAATAGCGGCGATAACAAAAGCCCCCAGCATATCGCCGGGGGCCTTGCTGCTTCCTTATGCCAAGGGTCTAAAAGTTTCGTTGCAGCATGCTCTAAACAAGCCGCAACCAGCGTCGTCCGTCACTTGCAGTAGGGACCGATGTCGGATGCCTCTTTGAGATTGGAGGGCACACACCCAGTTAATGCGTTGTCTCCTAGGAACAACCGTGCCAGGTTGGTCAATTTTCCTAACTCAAGCGGTATGTCTCCGCTCAATCGGTTGTCGTGGAGGTTTAGCTCCCTGAGATTCGTGAGATCACCCAACTCTATGGGTATGTGTCCCCTGAGTTCATTTCCGCTGAGAACCAGAATTCTCAATCCGGAAAGGTTACCCAATTGCAGGGGGATTTCGCCAGTTAACTTATTTCCGCTTAAATTCAGATTGGTCAGGCTGGCGAGGTTGCCCAACTCATTCGGGATATCTCCGCTCAACTCGTTGCTTTGCAGGTTGAGTCGAGCCAATTTGTCGAGGTTGCCCAATTCGCTTGGAATTTCCCCCTCCAACCGGTTGCTGTCCAACCACAATTGAGTCAGCCTGGTCAATGTACCCACCTCAAGAGGTAAGTCTCCGGTCAACACGTTGTCGTTGAGGTAGAGTTCCCGCAGTTTTGTCAGGTTTCCAAAATTGGGTGGTATTACCCCGCTTAATTCGTTACCGCTCAGATTAAGCACTGTCAGCTCGGTGAGATAGCCCAGCACCGGGGGGATCTCGCCGACCAACCGGGCATTGCCTAGCAGTAGCTCAGTAACCCTCCCGTTGCTGTCCGTCTTTACACCGGCCCAAGTGCGTAGCGGAGCGTCGCTCAACCAGTTTTCTTTTCGGCCAGTCCAGCCAAGCCCTCTCGTATCTTCGTACAACGTGATCAAAGCGACTCTGTCGGTTTCAGACGAAGCCTGAGCCGGTGGTGGAGTGCCCCTCGGCGTCGGTAGCAATCTAGCCACTGGAGTGGGCGTCAGGGTAGGTCTGGGTCGCGGCGTAGCTGTCACACGGCGTGTGGGCGGAGGTGTTGGCCGCGGCGTGGACGTGGGTTCAGGAGTAGCCGTGGGAGCGAGAGTTGGCTCAGGAGTGGGCGTGGGCGTCGGTTCGGGTGTGGGCGTGGCGGTTGGCTCAGGGGTTGAGGTTGGTTCTGGCGTATTCGTTGGGAGGGGTGTGGCCGTGGCTGTCGGTTTGGGCGTTGGAGTGTCAGGCTCGGCTGTGGAAGTAGGTAGCTCTGATTCTACAGAATCCTCGGGTTCGCCGTCGGAACCACAGGCCATCGTCAGAAACAGGACTAAGACCAACGCCATGGTTCCTACCGTTGCAAATCCCGAGGGAAGCGTACGCTTCGACTTCATTTGCCACTCCCTGGTTCAAATTAGTGTCGATTGCGCAACCGCAAGTTGCCTTAAACGCAGTGCCCGGCGAGTAAAGGACGCATATTATCACACCATCCCAATAGTTGTTCATAACTGCAACAGACTGGTGCTTACCCATCGTTCGATTCCTCACCTGGTAGGCGAAATAACTATCCGTAAAGTCCAAGGGGTCAAATGGGAGTGAGATTGGAGTAGATTCCGCACTGCCGTGTCAACGCCGACACTGTCCATCGCGCGTCTGGTCTTATGCATTGCAGAACGAGTCGAGTTGAGTAGTTAGCTGAATTCGAGGTGTATGCTGCACCCAGCGCGGCCTGCTGTATGAAAGATTCCGGCGGTTATGCGATAATCTAGCGGCACACTTTGGGTTGAAATTCCGCAGACGGACAATCGGGAGTAGAGGACTCGCAATGAGCATCAGCAGCGACTGGATCGACATTGAAAAGAAATATTACGCCCAGACGGTACGCCGCCAGCCGGTGGTCATCGTCCGAGGCGATGGCACCGAAGTTTGGGACGCCGATGGCAAGCAGTATCTTGACTTCGTCGCCGGCTGGGCCGTGAACCAGCTGGGCCACAGCCACCCCGCCATTACCCAGGCCATCGCCGAGCAGGCCGGCACGCTGATCCAGACTTCCAACCAGTTCTATACCGTACCCCAGTTGCAACTGGCCGAGATGCTCATCGAGAACAGCTGTCTCGACCTGGTGTTCTTCGGCAACAGCGGCGCCGAGGCCGTCGAGGGCGCCATGAAGCTGGCGCGGCGCTACGGCAAGCTGAACCGCGACGGTGCCTACGAAATCATCACCGCCTTTAACTCCTTCCACGGCCGCACTCAGGCCACCGTGGCCGCCACCGGCCAGCCTCACTACCAGGAGAACTTTGCTCCCCTGCTCCCGGGCTTCGTCCATGTGGACTACAACGACGTCGAGGCCGTGATGAACGCTACCACCGACCGCACCGCCGCCGTTATGGTGGAGCCAGTGCAGGGTGAGGCGGGCGTCATCATCCCCGACGACGACTACCTGCAACGCCTGCGCCAGTGGTGCGACAGCCAGGGCATCCTGCTCATTCTTGACGAAGTGCAGACAGGCATGGGACGGCTGGGCAGCATGTTCGGATACCAGGAGTACGGGGTCGAGCCCGACGTTATGACCCTGGCCAAGGGGCTGGGCTACGGTGTTCCCATCGGCGCGTTCCTGTCCAAGGCCCACTGCCAGGCTCTGGTCCCCGGTGACCACGGCTCCACCTTCGGCGGCAACGCGCTGACCACCGCCGCGGGCTACGCTGGTACCAAATTCCTCATCGAAAACGACATCCCCGGCCAGGTGAAGGAGATGGAGCCGTACCTGCTGGGCCGCCTGAACGACGTCAAGGACCGCTTCTCCTTTGTGACCGAGGTGCGCGGTAAGGGACTGCTGGCTGCCATGGACTTCGAGGACACCATTTCGCCGCAGGTGCTGGCGAACGCCAACGAAGCCGGCCTGCTGCTCAACGGCCCTCGCCCCAACACCGTCCGCTTCATGCCCCCGCTGAACGTGTCGCGGGAGGAGATCGACGAGGCCGCCGAGCGCCTGAGCACCGCGCTGTCCAAGATCTAGCTCCCGCCCATCCAGGTTTCGGACATCGCAGGCAGGGGCGCACGGTGGCGCGCCCCTGCAGTGCCACATAACTCCGGGCACGCTGTTTCTCCGCTGGCTTGATTCGAAAAGTCGGGGTCACGATGGTGAAGCGCGAGTTCTACATACTGGTTGAAACAGATTCCAATGGTGGATTCTTGGGGGAGTCCGCTCAATACGGTTCGTGCAGGAGTCTTGGAAAGACGCTGGATGAACTCTTGGCCAATATGCGCGGAGCCATACAGTCCCGCATGCAAGATGATTTGCCAGGACAGCCATTCTGAAATCAGCGGGTTTTACAGGTTGGAGGTGGCGGTCAAGACTCCGAAGGGGGGCAGGCAGTTCTACGTGCTGGTGAAAGATGACGGAGAAGGTGGCTACATCGGCATTGCGCCCGAGCTCAAGGGGTGCTTGAGCCACGGACTTACTCTGAATGAATTGATGTCAAATATGGATGAGGTCATTAGGCTGTGCCTTGAAGATGGGGAGGAGGCAGAGAATCCCTGCTTTTTCGGTATCCAGAGGGTGACTATCTAGCTCAATGACCCGGGTTCCCGCCCTGCGGGCCAATGAAATCGTCCGAGCTCTCCAACGACTGGGGTTCGAGTTTGTTCGTCAGAGGGGTAGCCATATCAGGCTCCGGCACCCGGATGGCCGGTTCGCCACGGTTCCGGACCACGGCACTAGAGAACTTCGGCGACAATTCGTGGTAGACATACTCAAGCAGGCGGGGTGGATTTCGGCGATTTCCTTGCATCTCTCTAACTTTTCAGACTAGCGCAGGTAGATTCCAGATGCCAAATGACAGAATCGTGCTCGCCTACAGCGGCGGGCTGGATACCACGGTCGCGGTGCCGTGGCTCAAGGAAAAATACGGCGCCGATATCGTGACCTTGACGATAGACTTGGGCATGGTTGACCTGGACACCGCCCGGCAGCGCGCGCTGTCTATCGCGCGGTCGAGGCCGTTATCGTTGACGGGCGGCAGACGCTGGTGGACGAGTTCCTGTTCCCCAGCCTACAGGCCGGGACCGTGTACGAAGAGCAGTATCCGCTAGCCACCGCGCTGGGCCGTCCGCTCATCGCCCGCTATCTGGTTGAGGCGGCGCGCGAGCACGGCGCCTACGCCGTGGCCCACGGATGCACGGGCAAGGGCAACGACCAGGTGCGCATTGAGGTCGGAGTGATGGCACTTGACCCCGATCTGCAGGTCATTGCGCCCATCCGTGACTGGGGCATGAGCCGCGACGACGAGATCGAGTACGGCTTGGCGCGCAACCTGCCGATCAATACCCGGGCCAGCCGATTCTCAACCGACGAGAACCTTTGGGGTCGCAGTGTGGAGGCAGGCGAACTGGAGGACCCATGGCTCGAGCCGCCCGAGGACGCCTACCTTTGGACCAGGCCCGCGGCGGAAACGCCTGACGCACCTGCATACCTCGAAATCGGTTTCGAACGAGGTCTGCCCGTCGCTATCAATGGCGAGTCGATCGGTGGGGTAGACCTGATCAGCCACCTGAACGCTGTAGGCGGCGAACATGGTATTGGCCGGGTCGACCACGTCGAGAATCGGCTGGTCGGCATCAAGTCCCGCGAGATCTACGAGTGCCCTGCGGCGATCATACTGCACGCCGCCCACAAGGCGCTGGAGACCATGACCCTGAGCAAGGAGCAGGCGCGTACCAAGGCTCGAATCGCCCAGGAATACTCAGACGTAATCTACAACGGCCTTTGGTACACCGCCCACCGAGCCGATTTGGACGCCTACGTGCAGAGCACGCAGCGACATGTCACCGGCGAGATTCGATTGCGGCTGCACAAGGGTGGCTGCACCGTTGTGGGCCGGCAGGCTCCGCAGGCGCTCTACAACTACGGCCTCGCCACCTACGATCGGCAGGACCAGTTCGACCACGCCGCAGCCGCCGGATTTATCGGCATCTACGGCCTGCCCGTTCGCACACAGAACCAGGCGCAGCCGGACTAGCCCGCCTTTCATTTAACCAGTTAAGCCACTCGACGTGATGCCGGAGGAACAATGACCGTCGCCGCCCGAATGCACGATCTTGGCACCGAAAGCGCCTTCGAGGTGCTGGCCAAGGCCCGCGCCCTGGAGGCCCAGGGCCGCGAGATAATCCACCTTGAAATCGGTGAACCTGACTTCGACACGCCTCGGCACATCATAGAGGCCGGGATGGCCGCCATCAGCGACGGGTTTACCCACTACGGCCCCACCGCCGGACTGCCGGAGCTGCGGGAGTCCATTGCCCGCAACAGCCGCGAGGTGCGCGGCACCAACACGGAGCCCGAAAACGTGGTGGTTACTCCCCGGTGCCAAGCCGATCATGTTCTACGTCCTGCTGGCGCTGGGTGAGCCGGGCGTCGAGGTGATTTACCCCAATCCGGGCTTTCCCATCTACGAATCGATGATCCGGTTCACCGGATGTACCCCTGTGCCAATGCAGTTGCTGGAGTCCAAGAGCTATCACCCTGACCTGGACCAGTTGGCGTCGCAGATTACTGACAAAACCCGGCTGATCATTCTAAACACGCCCGAGAATCCGTGCGGCTCGGCCCTGTCCGAGGATGAGTTGCGTACCATAGCCGATCTGGTGATGAAGCATCCCAACCTGTACGTCATGGCCGACGAGATCTACAAGGACATCCTCTACGACGGCGAACACTTTAGCATCGCATCCATCCCTGGGATGGAGGAGCGAACGATAATCCTCGACGGATTTTCCAAGAGCTATGCCATGACCGGCTGGCGGCTGGGTTACGGCATCATGCCCCCCGAGCTGGTGCCCCATGTGGTTAGGCTGGCAGTCAACAGCGTCTCCTGCGCCGCCACCTTCACCCAGAAAGCCGGTATCGCTGCACTTGAGGGACCCAAGGACCAAGTGGAGGCAATGACCGCGGAGTTCGCAACCCGCCGCCGCCTCATCACCGACGGGTTGCGCGGCATCCAGGGTATTCGTTGCCCGGAGCCGGAGGGTGCTTTCTACGTCTTTCCCAGCATCGAGGAGACCGGGCTCTCCAGCCGGGAGTTCGAGGACCGGGCCATGCAGGAGGCAGGCGTGGCCTTGTTGTCGGGATCGGCTTTCGGACAGTACGGTGATGGCTATGTGCGCCTGTCATACGCCAACTCGCAGGAGAACATCAGCAAGGCCGTCGAGCGCCTCGACACCCTGGTGCGCAGTCTCTAACGAAGCGTCGTCAAGTTCCTCTCTCTGTGGGAGAGAGTCAGGGTGAGGGCGTACCCATCGGCACGAAATAACCAAGCAGGAGACCGCAATGGCGGAATGCAAAGTTATCCATAACGACGGTTTGGAGGTCGAGATTCAGTCCGGAGCCATGACTCGACTTGCCGGAGTGTCCGAGGCGCTAACCGGCTCCACTGGCATACACCTCGCCATCGCCACCATTCCGCCTCACTGCGCCTCCAGCCCGCACTACCACGTCAACTGTGAGTCGGCCATCTACGTGGTCAAGGGTCACGGCCGATTCATCGTGGGCGACAAGCTGGATAACCCGCTGCCCATCGGCCCTGGCGACTTCATCTATGTCCCTGCCGAGGCAGTGCACCAGCCGGTCAACGACAGTGATGAGGTGATGGAGATAATCGTCGCCCGTAACACTCCGGTGGAGATCGTTGCCGAGGTGTAGTTCCATGGGAACGTTCAGCGTACAAATAGAAGTCTCCAAGCCTTACAGCGATGTGACTGCGTCATTCGAGGCACTAGTAGATACGGGAGCTACATACAGCGTTTTCCCCAGCAATGTCCTCGACGAGCTTGGTGTCATACTAGAGGAAAATCGTACTTTCGAACTGGCGGATAACAGAGTGGTAGAGCTTCCGATCGGTCACGCCGCTATCGTTGTTGCGGGAAGACGAATCATCACGCAGGTTGTATTTGGCCCTGAGGGAGTGTCTCCGCTGTTGGGCGCTACCGCGCTCGAAGGGGCCGGTCTTGCCGTTGACCCTGTAAGTCAAACTCTGGTTTCCGTTAACGCCCTGCTAAAATCGGGCTTCAATGGTAGTCTTGGCAACGGCTTGAATCACAACGACGTTCCTTGAGCCGCAACCCGACATCAAATATACTAGCGGCGCCCCGGCTGTTTATTCCCGCCGGGGCGTTCAACGCAACTAGCGCCGGAGAACAAGAAATGGATCTGGGACTCACTGAAATCCAGCAGATGCTGAAATCCAGCGCGCAGGAATTCTTGGCGCGGGAATGCCCCACCACCTTGGTTCGGGAAATGGAGGAGGATGAGCGGGGCTATCCCGACGAACTCTGGAGGCAGATGTCCGGGCTCGGTTGGGCCGGCGTGCCATTTCCCGAACAGTACGGCGGGACCGGCGGCGACTTTCTTGATCTGGCCGTGTTGCTGGAGGAGATCGGCCGTTCACTGGCACCCAGTCCGTATTTCTCCTCGGTGGTGCTGGGCGGTTTGACGGTACTGGACGCTGGCAGCGACGCCCAGAAAGACGACCTGCTCAGCCGGGTGTGTGACGGCAGCGGCATTTTGACGCTGGCGATCACCGAGGCTAGCGCGACCTTCGAAGCCTGGGGTGTGGAGACCACCGCCACCACCGACGGGAACGGTTTCGCCCTGAACGGCACCAAGTTGTTCGTCCCGGATGCCCACGTCGCCGACGTGATCATAGTTGCGGCCCGCACCAATCAGAGTGGCCCTCCTGAGGCGGGCATTACGTTGTTCCTCGTTCCCGCCAGGATGGAGGGCTTGGAAGTAACGCCCATTCGAACTATCGGTTCGGAGCGACAGTTCGAAGTCTCGCTGAATAACGTCCGTTTACCATCCAGCGCAGTATTGGGCGAGGTAAACGGCGGTTGGGCCATAGCAGATCGGGCGATTCAGCGGGCCATCGCCGGCCAGTGTATCACCATGCTGGGTGGCGCGACTGCTGTCCTCGATATGACCGTTGAGTACGTCAAGCAGCGTACCCAGTTCGGTCGCCCCGTGGGCAGCTTCCAGGCCGTTCAGCACCACTGTGCCCAGATGGCCACGGATGTCGAAGGCTGCCGGGGAGTGTCCTACCAGGCCGCGTGGATGCTGGCCGAGGGTTTGCCGGCGCAGCGAGAGATCTCCATCGCCAAGGCGTGGATCAGCCAGGCTTATCGTCGCGTCTGCGCAACGGCCCACCAGTGCCACGGTGCCATCGGGTTCACCAAGGAGCATGACCTGCAGCTGTACACCCGCCGGGCCAAAGTCCAGGAATTGGGTTACGGCGACGTTAACTATCATAAGGAACTGGCGATGGCGAGCATCGCCGGCGAATAACCCAGGGAGTAAGCCAAGGATGACAACCGGCAGCCAGTGTATTTTCTGCTCCATCGCCCGTGATTCGGCCAACCCGGACGTGCTTTACCGCGATGAACGTTGTTTCGTCGTCAAGGACCTCAGCCCCAAGGCTCCGGTGCACCTGTTGGTCATCCCCAACATGCACATTGCGTCCCTCGCCTATGTTGGTCCCGGGCAGGTCCCAATCATGGGCCATTTGTTCGTGGTGGCCGAGGAGATGGCACGGCGCGAGAGCATCACCCTGAGCGGGTACCGACTGGTGCTGAACCAAGGGCCTGATGCAAGCCAGACGATCCTTCACCCTCACGTTCACCTGCTTGGTGGCAGGCAGTTGGGTGACATGGGATGACGGTCGGTCCCAGGTACCAGATCGTCAACGACAAGTTTCGGGAGCGGTTCGCATCGCTGCCAGACAAGCTGCGGTCGCACATTTTCCGAGTTCGCGACGTCGGCCTCGATCTTGCCGCCCGGCATGGCATGGACGAGGAGCGGGCCGAACTGGCCATCCTGGGCCACGATGTCGCTCGCGCCGCCAAAAAGGACGAGATCCTGCGTCTTGCAGACCGATTCAGCATGTCCCCGCTGGACATTGAAAGACGGGCTCCGGTAACCCTGCACGGGCCCGTGGGCGCCGAGTTGCTCCGTAGCGAGGACGGTCTGGACGACGAAGAAATACTGGCGGCAGTTCGCTGGCACACCACGGGCCACAACAGCCTGACGCCGCTGGGCTGGCTGGTGTTCATCGCCGATAAGCTCGAGCCTCGCAAGATTAAGTCTTACCCCTATCAGCGGGAGCTACAACACATCGCCAATGAAAGCCTGAGCCAGGCAGTGCTCGAATTCCTCTGCAGGGAGTCGGCCCTGCGTTTGCAGAGCCGCAGACCAGTACACCCAAACAGCGTCGCTGCCATCAATTCGCTGCTGATTGAGAATGAAGCAGAACGGGCGCGAAAACCCAGGGCGCCGGTTACTACTGGGGCGGGATAGGAAAGGGCAGGAGTCTCTCTATGGAAATCGTATTAAGCCAGACGGCGGCCGAAAACATCATGAACAAGGGCAGCCGAGTTGTGGTCGACCTGTTGCAGCACTCCTCTTGAGCGGGCTGCGTTGTTGAGGTATCGGTCGATACCAGGGTGCACCGGAGGAACCTGGCGGGCTACGAAAGCTTCCAGATCAATGGCGTGGAAGTACTGATGCTTCCCGAGTTGTCCCGCCATGTCGTCAGCATGCAGATTAACCTGCGGTCGTTTCTGTTCTTTCGAAACCTGACTGAAAAAGAAAAAAAAAAAAAGAAAACTGACTGAAAAAAGTAAAAAGAACAAAAAAGAAAAAAGTACCTGAAAGAAGAAGAGAACACACCCCCCCTCCCCCCTGCGTCCTCCCCCACGCCCCACCATCCCCCCTCCCCCCCTTACCCATCCCCCCCCCTTCCTCCCCTTCCCATCTCCTCCTCCACCCCCTCCACACCCCCCCCCTCTCCCTCCCCCTCATCCCCCGCCCTCCGCCCCCCTCTCCCTCCCCACCTCCCCCCTCCCCCCCCACTACTCGCCATCCCTTCCCCGCTCCTTCCCCTCCCTCCCCCAGCCCATCCCCCCCCCCCCCCCCCCCCCCCCCCCCCTGCCTTACCCACCCCCTCCCCCCCCCCAGCCCTCTCCCCCCCCCCACACACCCCCTGTTCCCTCCTTCCGCCACCTCCCGCCGCCCCCGCGGCCCCCCGCCCCGCCTCCCGCCCCCCCACCCCCCCGCGCCCCATCCCCACCCACCCCGTTCCCCCCGACTGAAAAAACAAAAGAAACCTGACAATTTAAAAGATAAGAAACCCTGAAAAAAGAAAGGCACAAATATAAAAAACAACCTTCTAAGAAAAAAAAAACTAAAAAATAAACAAATCTTAAAAAATGAAAACCTTAAAAAAAATAAAAAAATAATCAAAAAGGAAAACTGAACTCTTAAAACTGCCCTCTCCCTTTATCCCCCCACCCCCACTCACCTCCCCCCGCCCCCCCTCCCTCCACCTCCCTTCCCTTCCCCTTCGCCACCCCCCCCTTCCTTCCCCCCCGATCTCCCCCCCACCCTTCTCCCCCTCCCCCCCCCCGACCCTCCCCCCCCTCCCCCCCGCCGCTCCCTCCCCCTCTGCCTCCTGCCCCCTCCCTTCCCCATTCCAACTTTCCCCCCACCCCCCACCTCCCCCCGTCCCGCCTCTCTGTCCCCCCCCCCCCCCCCCCCCTCTCCCCCCCCCCCGCCTCGCGCCTCCCCCCACTCGCTTCCCCCCCCCGCCCCCCGCCCTCCCTTCACGCCTGCCACCCACCCCCGCCCCCCAACACCCTGCACCTCTGCCCCCCCCCTTCCCTTTCCACCCCGCACCCCTGCCCCCCCCCCCCCTCCCTTCCCCCCCCCCCCACCCCCGTCCCCCCCCCCCCCACATCCCTATTCCCCCCCCCCTCCCCCTAAAAAAAACCTTAAAAAAAGACAAAAAAGAAAAGAATGAAAAGAACACCTGAAACTGACTGAATAAAAGAAAAAAAAATAGAAAAAAAACGAGAAAAAAAAACCTGAAAAACAAACACTAAAAATAAAAAAAACTGAACCAGAGAACCTGAAAACGTAAACACGAAATAACCAAGAAAAAAAAAAAAAGAACAGACAGAAAAAAACAACAAGTTCCCCCACTTTCCCTCACCAGCCCCTTCCACCCCCCCCCGCTCCCTCCCTCTCCCTCCCCCCTCCCCCCCTCCCGCCATGCCCCCCCCCCCCTCTTACACCCCCCCCCCCCCTCCCGCTCATCCCCCCCCCTACCACCCCCCCCCCTGCCTCCCCCACCCCATCCTCCCCCCCACCCCCTCCTTCGCCGCCCCCCCTGCCCCCCCCCCCCCCCCTCACCCCCCCCCCCTCCCCCCCCACCTCGCCTTCCCCCCCCCCCCCCCTCCTCCCCTGCTCTCCCCTTCCCCCCCCCTTCCCCCCCCTCCTCCCCCCCCCCCCCCCCCCCCCCCTTCCCCCTCCCCATCTTCCCCCCCCCGTCTCGTCCCCACCCCCCCCCCCCCGCCCTCCCCTCCCCCCCCCCCTCCTCCCCCGCCACGCCCCCCTTCGACCTCACCCCCCCCCGCGGTTCTCCCCTCCCCTCCTCCCCCTCCCCTTCCTCCCCATGAAAAAAAAAAAAAAAAAGAAACCTGACCCAAAAAAAGAAGAGAAAAGACCCTGAAAAAACGAAAAACAAAAAAAATCTGAAAAAAAACTGAAAGAAAAGAAAAAAAAAAAAAAAACCTGATATCTTAATAAAACCTATAAAATAAAGAAAAAAAAAAAATAAATAAAAACCTAAACCAAAAGTGAAAATACTGAAAAAAACCACATTAAACATTATGAATTAAAAACTTAAAACGAATAAAATAAAAAAAACTAACACAGAACAAAAAAACAAAGAAATAACACAGCACCACCTTAAAAAAACAACTTAAAAAAAAAACCACCCTGAAAACTCGAAAACCTGTACACATCCAACATCCCCCCCCCCCCCCCCTCCCCCTCCCCCCCCCCTCTCCCCCCCCCCCCCACCACTTCCCCCCCCTGTCCCCTTCCCCCGACCCCCCCCCTCGCCACCCCCCCCCCCCCCCCCCCCCGCCAAAATAACCCCTCACCAATCCCAACCCCCCCCCTCCCATCCCCTCCCCCCCACCCTTCCCTCCCCCCCACGCCCCCACCTCCTCCCCCCCCTTCTCGCCCCCAGACCCCCTTGCCCTCCTACCTTCCCCCCCCCCACCCATCCTCCCCTCCTCCCCCCCCCCCCACCCCCCCCACCCCCCCCCCCCATTCGCCCCCCTTCTCCCCCCCCCCCATCTCCTCCTTCCCCCATTCCCCCCTCCCCTCCCCCCCCCCCTCACCCCGCTCCCCCCCACTCCCTCAACGCCCCCCCGCCGCCCCCCCCTCCGTCCCCCCTCCCCTTCGCCGTCCCTACCCCCCCCCCCGCCCCCCTGCCCCCCCACCCACCCCTCCCCCCCTCCCCCGCCCCCCCCCCCTCCCCCAACCCCCCTGCCCTCCCCCCCCCCCTCCCCCCCCCCCTAATCCACCCACCCCCCGCCCCTCCCCCCCCCCCCCCCCCCCACCCCCTTCCCCCCTCCCCCCCCCCCCCTTCACCCCGCCCCCCCCCCCCCCATACCCCGTTCCCTCCCCTCTCCCACCCCTCCCCACCTTCCCCCGCTCACCCCTCCCCTCCCTCCACCGCTTCCCCCCCACCCCCCCCCCCCCCCCCCTGAAAAGAAAAAAGCATGAAATCGTTGCCTTCGACAACGGTATGGTGATCGGCAAGTCGCCTTACGGAATGCAGAGCGTGGAGGCGGAGGTTTAGCCCACACCCGCACTGGTGCAATCACCTGCAGTCCTCTCTTGAACTCACGGATACAAGGAAGCCCTCTCCATTCTGGAGAGGGCTAACCCGTTGCCACCTAGCGCGCCTTGTATTCCGGCTGGCGCTTTTCCACAAATGAGCGGCTTGCCTCCTTGAAGTCCTCACTCATATGCAGCTTAAGAGGCAGGGTCTGCATGTCAGCCTCGGCGCCCGCCTGCACCCACTGGCGCCGGGTCAGCTTGACGCCTACCCGCGCTGAAAGTGGCGGCGTCTTCAGCACCTTCTCCGCCAGTCCCTCGGCTGCAGACAGGTGGAAACCGTTGGGTACTAGGCGATTGATCAGACCTAGGCGGTAGAGTTCCGCCGCCTCCACGGGTTCGCCGGTGATGACCATCTCACTGGCGATCTTCGACGGCATAAATGCGTTTACCTTGGCCCAGATTCGGCCGCCGGCCAGACCTCGCCGGCTTTCGGTGATGCCGAACCTGGCGTCCTCTGAAGCCACTATCATATCGCTCTCGGCAGCGATGACGATGCCCGCTCCCAGTGCATAGCCGTGCACGGCGGCGATGATTGGCTTCCAGTTTATGGTGCGGCCCAGGTAGCCCTCGGGGTTGGGACCGCGTTCGCGGCGGGCGCTTTCCTGCGGCGTCATCTCCACGAAACGCTGCTTGATGTCGGCACCTGCGCAGAAGGCCCGTCCCGCGCCGTGAATGATCCCCACCCAGGCTTCCTCGTCCACATCAAACTCCAGTAGCGCCTCATTCAGATCCTCTTCGAACTGACGGTTCACCGCGTTAAGTGACTGCGGCCTGTTGAACATGATGTATGCGATCTTGCCCTTGCGGTCATAGTTCATGGTTTCGTACTCGGTCATATCCCCTCCAGGAGCGGTGCTTTCGTCGGTAAAGAGAAATCAGAACAAATCGTCAAATCTGTTGAAAAAACTGTTGACAGACTCCGTACCGATGTTCTAAATTACGGGCGCAATATTAGAACAACCGTTTGTTGGAGGCTGTTATGGCTACGTTGCTTGCCTCGCGTCCCGAAATTTCCCAGGATCAGGGTGGATACCCCGTCGCCGAAGACGCCTCGGAATTCTATCATTACGAGGACACTGGCTGCGAAGCTGCCGATTCCTGCCTCGACTGCCCGCTGCCCAAGTGCAGATACGACGACCCAGTCTGGTACCAGGGCATTCGTCGCTTGGCCAAGGACTTCAGGATCGTGCACGCAATGCAGCGAGAGTCGTTGAGCATCGAAGAGACCGCAGAGCGGTTCAACATCACTCACCGCACGGTGTTCCGCATTCTGCAGCGGTGCCGGGAAGCGGCGATGCTGGATACTTCGGATGGGGGACAGACGCTCGTCGCCGCTTAGCCACGACACCTGCATCCTTCTCGAAGTGGTTGGATTTCCTCCCCAACCACGCCGTAGGGGCGCACAGCGTGCGCCCCTACGAAGCTTTCAGGCAAAGGGGTTAGGCAGTTCAGGCCTACCCCCTCGGCAACCCCAGGCCCCGGCTGGCGATGATGTTGCGCTGCACTTCGGATGTTCCGGCGGCAATGGTCCCGGAGAAGCTGAGCATCCAGTGTTCCTGTACGCGGCCCCGCAACGGCGCCCACTTCTCCTCGCGCCCCAGCGTGCCGTACAGCCCCAGCACGTCCATGGCTGCCTCGGTCACCCGGCGGACGGTCTCGCTGCCGAACACCTTGCTCATCGAGGCCTCTCGCGTGGGCACCAGTCCCTGCCCCTGCATGTAGGCCACGTTGTAGGCGATCAGCCGGGCCACCTCGCATTCAATGTAACGGTCGGCCATAAGGCTGCGCACCCAGGGCACATCCATGAGCGCTTGGCCGTTGCGCTTGGTCTCGGTGGCATACTCCCGTACGTCATCCAGCAGGCGGCGCGCATTGGCCGAATAGTCGATGCCGGAACGCTCGAAGTCCAGGAGCGTCACCGCCACGTACCACCCGGCGATCCTCCTCGCCGACTACGTTGGCGCGGGGAACGCGCACGTTGTCGAACAGCACCTGGTTGAACTCGTGCCCGCCGGCCATGTTGATGATCGGCCTCACAGTGACGCCCGGCGATTTCATGTCCACCAGCACGAAGCTGATACCCCGGTGCTTGGGGGCGTCGGGGTCGGTGCGCGTGAGCAGCATGATGTAGTCGGCCCGGTGGGCCAGCGTCGTCCAGATCTTGGCGCCGTTGATGACCAGGTCGTCTCCGTCGCGGATCGCCCGCGTACTCAGCGATGCCAGATCTGAGCCGGACTCGGGCTCGCTGTAGCCCTGGCACCACTGCACTTCTCCGCGGGCCACCGGTGGCAGATGCGTGCGCTTCTGCTCTTCAGACCCGTGAATCATCAGCGTGGGTCCCAGCATGCGAACGCCGAAGATGTCGCGCCCAGGGGCCCTCAGGTAGGCGATTTCCTCGTTGAATATCGCCGACTTCACTGGCGATGCGCCCTGCCCGCCGTACTCCTCCGGCCAGTGCATGGTCAGCCAGCCCCGGTCGGCCATCTTGCGCCGGATGACCCGGGTCAGGTTCCAGTCGTCCTCTTCCGGATAGCGACCGCCGCCCTCCCATGTTTCGGGCAACTCGGTGGCGAGGAAGGTCCTCAGATCTTGACGAAACTGCTCGTCTTCCGGGGTAAACTTAAAGTCCAAAACGGCACTCCCTGGCGGCCTGAAACAGGGTGGGCAACGGAATGAAAGGGGCGGCTCTACCCGCCGACAGCGACGCAGGTGACCGTGCGTCACCACGCCGTCTACCGTGTGGATGTGCCTGTGACCAGATCGCCCACCACCGAAATGTCGTCGGCGCTGATCATGGCGATAATGTCATAGGGACCAGTTACAACGTCGACGGTTGCGATTCCCGGCAGCCCCGTGAGCGTTGTCGCTACTTCCCGGGTCTTGCCCACGGACGTCTCCACAAGCAGGTACGCTTTAGTCGCCATTTTCCGCCTTCCGTATACTGATTCTTTTCAACTTTACCAAGCACCGGCAATTCTACGGCCCGCCAAAATTCGTGTCAATTGCGTCATAATTGCGGGGCGACTACTCAAGGAAAGATAGCATGCAACTGTTGGCCGAGGGCGCGAAATCGCTGGGGATCCAACTGTCGAAGGGACAGCTGGACCAGTTTGAGCTGTACTACCGCGAACTGGCTGAGTGGAATGGGAGAAGCAACCTGACCTCATTGATCGGCTACGAGGAGGTGCAGGTCCGGCATTTCCTGGATTCCCTTACCGTCTGCCTGCCGTACGGCGGTCAGGCAGGCCTCGGGGTCTGCGCTCTCCCTGGTGTAAACCGGGTGGTGGACATCGGCGCCGGCGCCGGTTTTCCGGGTTTGCCTCTGAAGCTCGCCTTCCCCTCCGTTGAGCTGCACCTCATAGAGTCGGTTGGCAAGAAGACGGCGTTTCTGGATCACTTGGTTGGCTCGCTGGGGCTGGCGGGCGTCAACATCCACACCGGCCGGGCCGAAGCGCTGGCGCGCCTGCCGGAGCTGAGGGAGTCATTCGACCTGGGCGCTGGTAAGAGGGGTCGCCAGGCTGTCCCTGCTATTGGAGTACGCCCTGCCTTTCTGCCGAGTGGGAGGCCATACGGTCGCCCACAAGCACGGTGGGCTGGATGCCGAACTGACGGAGGCAGAGTTCGCTCTCTCGGAGCTTGGGGGACGAACAACTGGTGTATTCCCAGTCACTCTGGAGGGGTTGACCGACGACCGGGTGGTAGTGCAATTCGAAAAAGCCGCTCCAACACCAGAACGCTACCCCAGGCGTGTCGGGATCCCCGCGAAACGGCCCCTCTGAGTCGCGCCCGGAAGTACGCGCCTGGAAGTTCACGCCAGAAAGCTTACGCCTGGAAGTAAGCAAAGAAATGACCCCGCTCGGGGGATGCGGGGTCGGTTGCCTGCAATTCTGAGTCCGCCTTGAATCAGTCGTGGGGCGGAGGCTCGTGGTAGTAGCGGGTGTCCGGTGCCCGATTGTGGATGTTCTTCGTGCCTTTCTTGAAGATGCAGGTGCGAATGTTGTTTTCCAGCTCTTCCGGGTTTATGACACCATATCGAGCTACAGCGGCCTCGCTGGTAAGGTATTCGTTCATCTTTTGCAGAACTTCGTCCGCTGTTTCCCCAACCGCGATGAAACGATCCCGAGGATCGGACAGGAAGTTGCTTACCCTGGAGTAAAACGTGTCGGGCATTATTCCTCCTCCTAAGCTGCGGCTAAACTTCGCCGGACTGACTGGCAATGCTTGCCTGATAGTAGGTGATAGATACACCATTGGTGGCTGGGTTGTCAACGCGCCGCCCTCGCCGCTATTGGGTATTCGCGTCCTCAATGCCGCAATCTGGCCCTGCTGTCATTTGCCCCTTGCGATCACTGGCAACTGGCCTACGACATATGTTCTATAAGAATATTCACCGCATCGTGACTCTCCCGCAACGCCAGTGAAGTCTGCCTCGAAGCGGCAGCCAATATGGGTTCGCAGGAATGGTCGGACCTGAGCGGAAAATTAAATACTTTCATTGCCGCAGGCCACGTTCCGGCGTCTCTTAGGTTGCCTTGGTCGCTGTAGGTGAGGTCGCTCCCGGAGACCCGGGATTTTTGGAAGAATGCACAGAATTGCACAGTTATAGGAGGTGGGGTCATCGGGGTGCCGTTCTGCGTGAGATCGCCTTCGCCCTCAGGGGCACTCTCTCATTTGCCCTTAGGGCCACTCGAAGGAAAGCGCCAGGGATTGCGGGCCGGTTGACCCCCAATTATGATTTCTGCGGCCCGCAGCTTGGACCGGGCCGGATTCGGGATTGATTGGAGAACTGAAATGTCCGTCATGGTCACCGGCGGTACCGGCTTTATCGGCAACCGCATCATTCGCAAGCTGCTGGAGCGCGGTGAGGAGGTGGTCTGTTTCGACCTGGCCCCCCCGCGTGGCAATCTCACGCAATACCTCGATCGCATCAAGCTGTACCGCGGCGACGTCACGCAGCTTCCACAACTGATGGAGGCCATCAACGCCAACGGGGTGACCCGCATCATCCACATGGCTGCGCTGCTGCCGCCCGACACCGAGGACCGTCCCCCATTTCGCCATGCAGGTCAACATCGGTGGCACCAACAACGTCTTTGAGGCTGCCCGCTGGTGCGGTATCGAGCGCGTCGTCTACGCCAGTTCCATCGCGGTCTATGGGGTGCAGGATACCTTCGGCGAGCGCCCCATCAACGAGGATGACGTCAATGACCCCATCAACGTCTATGGCATGACCAAGTCGGTCAACGACTTCTCCGCCCGCCGCTACACCGACCTCTATGGCTTGGACCTGCGTGGTATCCGGATCTGCACCGTGTTCGGACACGGCCGGGTTACCGGCATGACCGGCATGATCGGCGGCCTGATGATGTCGCTGCCGGCCATCGGCCAGCCAATCACCATGCCCTTCCACGAGGACGAGCCGTCGCCCATGATCCACGCCGAGGACGCCGCCGAAATCTTCGTCCGGGCTGCCTTGGCCGGAGCGCTGAACCACCGTACCTACATCAGCGGCGGCAGCCTGGCCACCATCAAGGACATGGCCGACGCCGTGCGCAGTTTCATCCCCGACGCCCAGATAACCACCGGCGACCGCACCGTGCCCCACGTCTACATGGTCGACAACAGCCGGATGCTGGCCGATATCGGCTACGAGATTGCTCCGCTGCGCCAGCGCATCCTTGACCACATCAACGACGCCCGCGCCGAAGCCGGCATGCAGCCTATTCAGGGCTGACAACGCATTCAAGGCTGATAAGGAACAAGCGTGGGGAAGCGAGGGGTGGAATATCGAAGGTGGGTACTTCCGGGCAATTGCCGCCATTGCGTTTTGATGACACTTGCCCCTTGCCAAGCCTCATGACGCCTCCGTACGATATATTCGTATGCTTGCATCTGTTCGTGGTGCCCTTGTCAATTTCCGGGTGCCGGCGAGGCTCTTTGGTCATCCGACAACGGGCCGGAAAGTGCCGGTGGGACAAAATGGGACAGAATGGCACGGGAATCGCAAATTTTTGCTTAAAAAGGCATTTCCCAGCTACGGCGGAGCGTAAATTTGGGACAGGATGGGACAAAATGGGACAGAAGCGGGAAAATCTTGTCCCGGTTTTCCCGTGAAGACACCGAATGCTTCTTCGTGGGTCTGCCTTTCTGGGTCGGCTATATTGAATCGCCTGCGTTGCCCCGGTATCTGGGCAACCAATTGAGATAACCCAGGGGCGGCCCTCTGAGATTGTCGAGGGACTGCGCCCCTCCGTGTATAATTCAGGAAAACTTTCTCCGGAACGAATCCGCCGCACCTCAGCGCGGCCATGAGGGGATCACAATGAGTATCGCCATTGGATACATGCCGGGAGCTTTCGGTGAGGGCGGCGAGAACCCCAACTACCTTCGCGAACTGGTGGAACCGGTGATCGGCACGGCTACGACTCGATCTGGCTCAGCGATCGAATCGTCAGTGACAAGTTCAGCCTGGAGGCCATGACTGCCTGCGCCATGGTCGCCGCCTACTCCGACCGTCTCAAGTTCGGCACCAGCGTTATCGCCATGCCCCTGCGCAACCCTGTGGTGCTGGCGAAGCAGATCGCCACGCTGGACTTCCTTTCCCAGGGCCGCTTCTTCCCTGCGGTTGGCCTGGGGCAGGAAGAGCCCGAGGAATACGAGGCCTGCGGCGTCAGCAAGGAGCGACGGGGACCCCGAACCGACGAGGCTATCCAGTTGATGCGCCGCCTTTGGCAGGAAGACATGGTTACCCACGAGGGCGAATTCTATTCCTGCCACAACGTGTCCGTCACGCCCAAGCCCTTCCTGCAGCCGTCGACTCCGGTCTGGATCGGCGGACGCACCGCCGCTGCCGCCCGCCGCGTGGGCCGGGTTGGCGATGGTTGGCTCGTCTCCAGCGCCACTCCTGCCGAGATTAAGGAGGGCCGCGACATTCTCTTCGAGACGGCCGACGAATTCAATCGGGAAATCGAAGACGACCACGTTGGCGTATTGATGGGCTACTACGTAAGCAACGACGTTGAGGAAGCCACCATCAAGGCCAACCAGTACGTTACCCGCCAACGCCCCGACGCCCACTTCACCGAGTTCACTGCCGTCGGGCCCGTTGACCGTATTGCCGAGTACGTCAATCGCTACGTGGAGTCCGGTGCCTCGAAGTTCGTCGTCCGCCCCCTGTGCCCGGCCGAGGAAAAGCATTGAGCAACTGGACATCCTCGGCGAAGAACTCCTCCCCCACTTCCACAAGTAGCCGGCGGTTGAGTTCGAAATGGGAATTGTGCGAGTGAACGCGACGGTGAGAAACCCAGCCGACTTGAATCGTGCGTGGGAGGGTACATTCTTGGTCGACACGGGAGCCATCGACTGCGTCGTACCAAGGCGTTACTTGGAGGCTATCGGCCTTATTCCCATGGATAGCCGGGTTTACGGTTTGGCTGACGGTAGTGAAATCAGATTGGACGTCACTGTCGGCATTATTGAATTTATGGGAGGGAGAACCGGCAAGGATATTGTGTTATTGGACGACAATGACGCCGAGCCATTACTGGGCGTTACTGTCTTGGAGTCACTGGGAATCGAGATTGACGCCCGCAATGAGCAACTAACCAAGCTGCCATCGACAAGGATGAGGGCGTTTCTCCCAGCTACCGGTTAGTTTCCCACGTGATGACCAGCTCCCGCATCGGCTGGCGCCAGATGGCCCGGTAGCCGTCGCCGTCCGGCACGAAGAGCTCGTCGAACTGCTCGTCAAAGATCCGCCTCGCCCGGTCTCGAACTCCCTCCCGGGACCAGCGGCCGAATATCACCGAGTCCAGCGCCTCCTCCCGCGAGGGATGGTACCAGTCCTCCCACCACGTCGGTGCGGGTAGCACGCGAACATCGGGCAGGATGCCCAGGTCCCACAGTACCGGAAGCAACTCCCTGTGGCCGGGCATCGGTGCCAGAGGCTCGCCGTACACCCGCCGAAACAGTTCGGCACCGCGGTTGGGCGGAGGCTCGCTCCACACCATGATCATCACCCGCCGCCGGGCCGCCGCCTGCATCTTCTCGACGAACGGCACGATGTCCCTGACGAAGTAAGTTACATCGCAGGCCAACACGACATCTCCCTCGATGCCGTGGTCATCCATCCAGCCTGCGGCCACATGACGCGCATTGGTGATTCCCGCCTCTTGCCTTGATGCCTCGTACTCCGCGGCCATGCCTTCCGATGGCTCCACGGTCAGTACCTCTTGGCACCGTAGCGCCAGGGGCAGGGAGACGCGGCCAGCGCCGCCACCGACGTCTACCACCACGTCGTCCGGTTCAGCGTAAGATGCCAGTACTGCCAGGTTGGGATCCAGTTCTCGCCGTGGATCGAAGCGAAACTGCGCCGCCGATTGGCCGGTCCAGATGTCGGCGGGCCTCGGCCCGAACAAACGCAACTGCTGCTCCTCCACGGCATCCAGCATGGCGGTGTATTGGTCGGCGGCGATAGGCATCTTGGCGCTCCAATATTCGACGGCGAGAAAGCAAAGAACGCCGAGGAATTCTTGCGCTTTCTCGGCATTCCGGGATTGCTCCGTGGTCAAGTTAGATCGAAGGCCGAGTCTTGTACCAGCCGGCGTGCTGCTGATAGGTGTAGGCGGCCTGGATCACGCCCGGCTCGTCAAAGGGCTTGCCGGCAATCTGCAGGCCCACTGGCAGGCCGGCTTCGGTGAAGCCGCACGGTACCGAGATGGCCGGCAGGCCGGTAACATTGAAGGGAGCGGTAAAGCTTCGCCCCCGCACGGTAGTGGTTGGATCGTATCCCTCGAACGCAGGAGCGGGAGTGGTCATGGTCGGAGTAACCAGGAAATCCACCGTCCTCATTACCTCCGCGAACTCCCGTCGCGCCCACGTCCGTACTCGCTGGGCCTGCAGGTAGTCCGAGGCGGTCAACAGCCCCCCGGTGCGGAACCGGCTGCGTACGATGTCTCCGAACTTTTCCGGAATCTTCTTCAGGTTCGGCTCGTGGTAGGCATATGCCTCGGAAACCATGATCACCGAGTTCGCAGCGCGCACATAGTCCAGGCTGGGCAGAGAGACCTCTCGCACCTTCGCCCCCAGTCCTTCCAACTCAGTCACGGCCCTCTCCACGACTGCGACGGTCTCGGGGCTGACGCTGGGGTCGGGGTCAAAGAAGTAATGCCGAGGCAGCCCTATGGTTACACCCCTGATGTCCTCAACCAGCGAAGCCGAGTAGTCCGGCACCGGTGCCGTGCTTGACGTGGGGTCCTTCGGGTCGTGGCCTGCGATGGCCTGCAGCATGTACGCTGTATCCTCCACCGTCCAGGTCATCGGTCCGGCGTGGTCCTGAGACCAACTGAGCGTCACAACGCCAGCGCGGCTGACGCGCCCGTAGGTGGCCTTCAGGCCGACGATGCCGCAGTATGAGGCAGGGCCGCGTATCGACCCTCCGGTACAGGAGCCGAGGCCGCCCATGACCTGTCCCGAGGCAACCGACGATCCGGTACCACTGCTGGAGCCGCCGGTAATGTGGTCAAGATTCCACGGGTTGCGGGCCGGCTCGAAGGGCGTCGACCAGTCGGGGCCGCCCAGAGCAAACTCGTGCATTGCCAGCTTGCCAACAAGGACACCTCCGGCCTCTTTAAGCCGTGCTGTGGTCGTTGCGTCCGCCGTAGGCACTCGCTCCAGATCGACGTAGGAACCGGAGGTGGTCCGGGTGCCGGCAGTGTCGTAAAGATCCTTCAATGCGAAGGGGATGCCGTGCATAGGGCCCCTGTAGTTTCCCCGCAGCATCTCTGCCTCGGCCGTGCGGGCCTGCTCCAGGGCCCCGTCGGTCATCATGGTCACGAACGAATGCAGGCGATCGTCGGTCGCCTCGATGCGGTCGAGACAAGACCTCAATAGCTCCACCGGCGATAGCTGGCCGGAGCGCATAAGTTCCCCAGCTTCTCTCATCGTCAGAAAATACAACCTGTCCTTATCGGCCATTATGATTCACCCCTTTATCGAATCGAGAATGTGAGCGACTAACCATACCGAGCTGACTATGCACCGGGCCAATCGGGGTGAAACTCCACCACCATCTCCTCCGCACCGTAGTTGATGTCGTGGAGTTGGGTGGCGTAGGCGGCGTAGAGATCGTAGATGGGTTTGAGTTCTTCCAGTTCCTGATCGCTCAGGCCCAGCCCGGCCCGGTCAACCATGAGCCGGAATTCCTCCATCGTAACTTCGCTCTGACCTGGCATGGCATTACCTCCAGCGTTGCGGTTTTCAAGTTACCGTCCAGGCGATAGCCTTGGCTGCAGTTGGTGCTATTATACGCACAAACTTGTCCCATGCCGGATGGCAAATTGCTCGTCAAGGAAATACTACGTGACTACCTACGTGTACATCTCCCTGCAACGCGAAGATCGAATTTCCCTTTACGAATTGGACCCCGACTCAGGTGAGCTTACGCGGCGGACGGAATTTCCGCTGCCGGGCATGCCGGCGCCTATGGCAGTGGACCCGCAGCGCCGCTACCTGTTCGTGGGGCGGCGACAGCCCGGCGACTTCGGACTCACCAGTTACGCCATCAGTCACGAGACCGGACGCCTGAGGGAGTTGGGCGGGGTTCCGCTGGAGGGTGACCCCGTTCATATCTCGGTGGATCGCACCGGAAAATACCTGCTATCGGCCCACTACTATCAGGCACGCGTCGGCGTGCACGGATTCGGTGAGGACGGCGCGCTTGATGCCACCCCCATCGAGTGGCGCGAGACCGGCATCGGGGCACACTACGTCCAGACCGACCCGTCCAATCGCTACGCCTACGTGCCGCACATCGCCGAGGGAGCCCACACCGGCGTGAACGCCATCTTCCAGTTCCGATTCGACCAGTTGACGGGAAAACTCTCTGCCTGCGACCCAGACCGTGTGATCCCTGATGCTCCGGAGGGTCCGCGCCACTTCTGTTTCCACCCGAACCTGGACGTCTTGTATTCCTCCAACGAGCAGGGCTGCAGCGTTACTGCATACCGGTTCGACCGCTCAAGCGGAACTCTCAGCCCATTCCAGACAGTTCCCACGTTGCCCGATGGGTATAGCGAGCGCAACTCCTGCTCTCAGATCCAGATAACGCCTTCGGGGAGTTTCCTATACGCGCCCAACCGGGGTCACAACAGCATCGCCGGCTTCGCTGTTGACGCGTCCGACGGGACGCTGACCCCCTTGGGGCAGACGCCGACCGAGGACACTCCAAGGGCGTTCAGCCTGGATCCGACCGGTAACTACCTTTATGCCTCCGGCCTGGAATCGGCGCGGCTGGCGAGCTACCGGGTCAACGTCGACACCGGGGCGCTGGAGCCGCTGGAGATTTACCCCATCGGCCAGGGACCCATGTGGGTGCTGATGGTGGACGTGTAACGGGCATTTGATGGCGGAGTGCGAAGAGAGCGCCGAGGAAGATAGAATCCTCGGCGCTTTTGGGGTCCTCGCGGATGATACGAGGTCGTTTACGAGACCATCCACCACGGGTCCTCGAGCAGAGCCTTGACCGTCCGCAGGAACTCAGCGGCGGGAGCGCCCGTCGATGACTCGGTGATCAAAAGTGAGGCTCAGGTACATCGTCTCACCCTTCGCTATCTCGCCGTTGGCGATTACCGGCTTCTCCACCACTCGGCCCACGCCGAGGATGCCCACTTGTGGCGGATTGATGATGGGCGTGAAGCCGTCGACTTCGTTGGCCCCCAAGTTGGTGATTGTGAAAGTCCCGCCAGTGATTTCCTCTGGACGGGTCCGCCCCTCGCGCGTGCGGGCAGCCAGATCGCGGTTCTCGGCGGCCAACTGCGCCAGCGACTTCTCGTCGGCGCCTCGAATTACCGGCGTGACCAGCCCTTCCTCAAGGGCTACGGCCAGCCCGATGTTGACCTCAGACAACATCTGCACCTGCGCTTCGCCATCTGCCGAGGTGGTTTCGATGGCGTTCATACGGGGGTGCCGCTTCAGTGCTTCTGCGGTGGCCTTCACGACCAACGGCAGCGGCCCGATGCCTCCTCCCGCCTCCTCCGCGTGATGCCGCGACAACCCCCGCCGCAGCTGCATTGCCTCAGTTACTAAGGCTTCAGTAGTCAATGTCACCTGGGCCGTGCTCTGGATACTTTGCAGCATCCTGGTCGCCACTGCGCCGCGAATGCCGGTAAACGGGACTACGCCGTCCGCCGACGGCTCGGGAGCGGATGCCGAATCAGGAGCGGACTTGGCCTTGATCGCCGCCTCGACGTCCTCGATCAGGATACGGCCCTGCGGCCCGCTGCCAGTGATCGTGGCGAGATCGATGTCGTTTTCCCGTGCCAGTCTGCGCGCGGCCGGCACCACCGGTACTCGTCCAGCAGCAGCCTCCGCGCCGTCAGTGGCTGGTGCCTGCAGTGCAGCTTCAACGTCGGTCAGCAGGATGCGTCTGTTGGGGCCGCTGCCGCGTACTTGGGCGAGGTTAACGCCGCGTTCGCGGGCAAGTCGCCGGGCCGCTGGGACCACCTGTATGTCTACGCCGTTGGTGGCAGGGGCAGCCTGTGTCGCCAGAGCAGCTAGTGGTGCGCTGGCAGGGGCAGCAGGTGCGGCGGACGCTGCGATCTCCTCGCCCGGCTCGGCGATAACACACAGCACGCCTCGGATGGGCACAATTTGGCCTTCCTGGGCTACGATGCGACTGAGGATGCCCGACGCGGTGGATTCCAGTTCGGTCTGCAGCTTGGCCGTCTCCACCTCGACGATAGGCTCGCCCTCTGCCACGGTATCGCCCTCCTGCTTAAGCCAGCGGACGATGGTGCCGTCCTGCATCTCCATACCCCACTGCGGCAGCACGATCTCCGACGCCATAACTTCAACTCCTCTTCGAGGTGAGACCGCCAGGATGTTCCACCTGTCGGTACTGTGCAGGGGCGCACGGCCGTGCGCCCCTGCTGGCTAGAGACAAACCAAAATTTTCACCTGAACCCCGAAACTATTGCAGTGTCACTCTTACGGCCTCAGCGATGGACTCGTCGGTGGGGTAGCAGAGCGGCTCCAGCGCCGGGCTGAAGGGGATGTGAACGTTGATGGTGCCCAGCCGCTGTATCGGGGCCTGCAGGTCCCAGAATCCCTCCATCGCCACGATGGCAGCGATCTCGCTGGCGGCGCTGCAGGTCTTGTGGGCCATGTCCACCACTACCAGGCGGCCCGTCTTGGCCACCGAGTTGAGGATCGCTGCCTTGTCCAGCGGCACCAGCGTGCGCGGGTCAATTACCTCGGCGGAAATGCCTTCCGACGCCAGTGCATCGGCGGCGGCCAGCGCCCTTGGCACCATGCCGCCTATGGCGACGATGGTGGCGTCGGTTCCTGCCCTCTTAGTGTCTGCCACGCCCAAGGGGATGGTGTAGTCCTCTTCGGGAACTTCGGCCCGCGCGCCAAGGATGGTGCGGTCCTCCCAGAAAATGACCGGGTCGTCGGTGCGGATGGCCTGCTTGAGCAGCCCCTTGCCGTCATAGGCGTTGCTGGCGAAAACTATCTTGAAGCCTGGGATGTTCATAAACAGTGGGTGCGAGCGGTCGGAGTGGTGGGCCGCCATGCTGCCGCCGTAGTACATGGCGGCGCGATACACGATGGGCAGGTTGACCTGTCCGCCGAACATGTAACGCATCTTGGCCGCCTGGCTGACCAACTGGTCCATACCCACCCACATGAAGCTGGACAGGCTCTCGACGATGGGGCGCATCCCCACCGCCGCTGCGCCAACGGCGGCGCCGAAGAAGGCATTTTCCGACAGCGGGCAGTCGCGGACGCGGTCGCCCCCGAACTCGGTGAACAGCCCGGCGGACGCGCCGTAGACGCCCTTCTGGATGTCCTCGCCCATGATGAAGACGCGCTCGTCCAGGCGCATCTCTTCCAGCATCGCCTCGTTGATCGCCTGGGTGAAGGTGATGTTGCGGGTCTGCGTCGCAGTGGCCATGACCTGCCTCCTGATGGATTAAGCGGATTCCGTAGGAGCGCACGGTTGTGCGCCCCGCAATTGACTGAATTAGTGCTCCGCTACTCCAGCGGGATGGGTTCGGCGTACATGTCCTCCCAGACCTCGGAGGGGTCGGGGTAGGGGCTCTCGCGGGCAAAGGTTACGGCCTCTTCGATTTCGGCCTTGACCTGCTCTTCCATTGCGTCCAGTTCGTCTGTTGTGGCGATGGCCTGCTCAATGAGCATGGCGCGGTGAATGTCCAGCGGGTCGCGCAGCTTCCACTGCTCGACCTCGTCGTCGTCGCGGTAGGAGTTGCGCACGATGCGGCCCAGCCCCAGCGAGTGGTCGTAGTAGCGGTAGGTGCGGCCCTCGACCAGGGTCGGCCCCTGGCCGGAACGAGCCCTCTCCACCGCCGCAGTTACCGCCTCGTGCATCGCCAGCGCGTCCTGCCCGTCCACCAGCACCCCGGGGATGGCGTATGCGGCGGCGCGGTCGGATATGTTAGCCACCGCGACCATCTCCTTAAAGCTGCTGGTAACGGCGTACTGGTTGTTCTCGCACAGGAATATCACCGGCAGCTTCCACACGGCGGCCAGGTTGATGGACTCGTGGAACGCGCCCTCGTTGCTGGCACCGTCGCCGAAGAAGCAGACGGCCACCCGGTCGTTGCCCTGCAGGCGGCTGCCCAGCGCGGCGCCGACGGCCACGGGGATGGAAGACCCCAGGATGCCTGACTCGCCCAGGATTCCGATGCTGAAGTCTGCCAGGTGCATCGATCCGCCCTTGCCCTTGCAGATACCGGTCTTCTTTCCCAGCAGTTCCGCCATTGCCGTCTTTACGTTGCCGCCCTTGGCGATGGGGTGTCCGTGGGAGCGGTGATTCCCCGTCATCCAGTCGTCGTCCCGCAGGGCCATGCAGGCGCCGACGGCCACGGCTTCCTCGCCGATGTATGAGTGGGCCGCCCCTACGATTTCGCCGCGCTCCACCAGGTTGATGACCGCCTCTTCAAAGTGCCTGATGCGAAGCATTCGCCGCATCATTTCCATTAGTGCTGTTTTGTCCAGCATCACCGTGCCTCCTTGAGACTTATCGAAAGAATTGCCGGAATAATACCAGAATTCCGCAACTGCGGGACCACGCCAGTTAATGGTTGTCAGAATTGAGCGCCTATCCGGATATATCGGTTGAATCTCTTTGGCGAATCTTGCGATTACAGCCTATAATCCAGCAACCAGTCAACGAGAGCCAATTGTGGAGGTAGTGATATGCCCATATTGCGACGGGCGGATGCGGAAAGCAGCGAGGGTTACCCCGGTATTCCCCGGGCCACTCTCGTGGGTGCGGAACACGGGGCACAATCGCTGTGGGTCGGCCATTTGGAGATCAGCCCTGGCGCCGCGGTCAGCACGCACATACACCCGGATACCGAGGAAGCCATGGTCATCGTGGAGGGTGAGCTGGAGGCCATCCTGGGCGACGAGGTGGTAACCCTCGGCCCCGGCGACACGGTGCTGGCTCCCGCCGGAATCAAGCACGGGTTCGTCAACCGCTCAAGCGGGAAGGCGGCTCTCCTGGCAGTATTCCCCAAGACGGAGTTCGAGCGGGTACTCGTGGAATAGATTCATAATCCGTAATCACGAAGCAGGATATTGACTATTGTCAATGTAGTTTGAGATTTGGTAAACTCGGAACACTGACCTAAAGGTCCATTGCCCGAGCTCCAACCACGAATCCGATTTTTGGCCGGAGGCGATATATGGTCATCACAAACGTCTCGGATGATATTTTCAGCCCCGCGGCGATCAACGACCCTTATACCTACTACGGTAGATTGAGGGACGAAGACCCCGTTCACTGGAACGAACTCTACGAGTTGTGGATAGTTACTCGCCATGACGATCTGGTGTGGCTGACCCGCAACCACGAGAAGTTCTCCAGCGCAACCTTCCTCAACGACCCGCGACCGGCCTACCCGGCCATTTACGAGTCCGACGAGGAAATCTACCGGATGGCGTGCGAATATCAGGGGATGATGTTCATCCAGCACGACCGCCCGGCCCACCTAGACATGCGCAAGGTGGTGCATCAGTTCTTCACTCCCAAGTCCATGGAGGAGTGGCGTCCCCTGGTTATCTCCGCCACCAACCACCTGCTGGACGATGCGGAGCAGAAGGGCAGCGTGGATCTGATGCGCGATCTGGCAGTGCCGCTGCCCCTGCTCGTAATAGCGGAAATGATGGGTGTTCCCGAAGCCGACCGCCCCTACATCCGCGTCCTTGCCGAGAAGCTGCTGTACAACAACCGTGGCGAGCCGGACCGCTACCGCACGCTATGGAAGGCGTGAACGGATGTTCGAGTACTGCGATCCGTTGCTTGACGAGCGCAAGGAAAACCCTGGTGATGACTTCATATCGGTGCTCGCCAGCGGCGAGAAGAATGGCGTCTTCACCCGTGCGCACACGCTGTCCAACACGGCCCTGCTGCTGATCGCCGGTCACGAGACCACCATCAACCTGATCTGCAACGGGACCAAGTCTTTCATGAACAACCGGGACCAGTGGGACCTGTTCCGGCAGGACACCGAGGGCATGATGGTTCGCGCCTGCGAGGAGGCGCTACGCTATGATCCCCCCGTCCTGACCCTGCCCCGCCTGGCCAGTGAAGACGTGGAACTCCGCGGCAAGCACATCAAGGAGAAGGACCGCGTCCGCTGGGTCATCCCGTCGGCCAACCGGGACCCCAACAAGTTTGACCAGGCCGACCAAATGGACATCACCCGCTGGCCCAACCCGCACGTTGCGTTTGGCGCCGGCGTACACCACTGCCTCGGATCCACCATCGCCCGCGTGGAAGGCCAGGAGGTCTTCCGGGCCCTGGCCGACCGCTACCCCAACATGGAGATGGTGCCGCACGAGTCCGAGTACCGTCCCACCATGGCCCTCCGCTCCATGATGGAACTGCCGATGAACTTCAACGTATAGTTCGCGCTACGTCGATAGTCGACTAATGGGGCGGGTGAACAACCCGCCCCATTCTTTTTTGGAATCTGGAGTCCGGTCCAGCCGACAGCAGCTACTCCTGCAGGTCGTGGTAGGCCGTCAGGGCGGCGGTGATGCCGTCGCCAACGGCTGCGCCCAGCTGCCGGGTGGAGTCAGCGCGGGCGTCGCCGCAGGCGTAGAGGCCTGGGACGCCGGTCCGCATGTGAATGTCGGTGTAGACGTGGCCCAGCGCGTCCATTTCCACCAGACCCTTCAGGTACTCGGTGTTTGGGTGGAAGCCCACGTAAATGAAGGCCGCGGCCGTGTTGTAGTCGTAAATTTCCTCGGTCTTCAGGTTCTTGACCCGCGCCGCTTCCAAGGCCTCGTTGCCCACGAACTCCTCGACCACGTGGCTCCAGAGGAACTTGACCTTGTCGTTGTTGAACGCCCGCTCCTGCAGCACCTTGGTGGCCCGAAGTTCATCGCGGCGGTGGATGTAGGTGACGGAGTTAACGATGCCGGTCAGGTAGTGGCCCTCGTCCATGGCCGCATCGCCTCCGCCAACAACGACCACATCCTGGCCGCGGAAGAAGTTGCCGTCGCAGACCGCGCAGTAGGACACGCCTCTCCCGGAGAACTCGTCCTCGCCCGATGCTCCCAGCTTGTTGTGCGAGCCGCCGGTGGCGATGATCAGGCTCTTGGCGGTGAGGGTGCGGTCGTCGGTATGCACTACCTTTGACCGGCTCGTCGGCCTTTTCGATACCCTGCACTTCGGCGTAATCGATCTCGGCTCCGAACCGCGTGGTCTGCTGCTCCATCATCATCGCCAGTTCCTGGCCCTTCACGCCCTCGGGGGAAGCCGGGGTAGTTCTCGATCTCGTCGGTGATCAGGAGCTGTCCGCCGGGGCCCAGCTGCTCGATAATCAACGTCTTAAGCATGGCCCGGGTGGTGTAGAGACCGGCTGCAAGACCCGCGGCGCCGGCCCCCAGGATAATTGTGTCGTAGTCTGTCGCGGATGTCGTCATGGCGGTTCGCCTTCCTATGCTTTTGATTGGTCTGTCCTGGTATATCGCCCTGTTCGTGGCGCTTAGGCCTATGCCATCCAGTCTGCTAGCCTGGGAGCACTCCCTCCGCCTGCGCGGCTTCCCTGAGGTAGGCTACCGTCCGGGCCAACCCTTCGGCCAAGCTGGTCTTCGGGACCCACCCCAGTTCCTCCTCGGCCCTGGAGCAGTCGAGGCTGATCCGGTAAACGTCGCCCGCCCTGGCCGGCCCGTGTTCTGCATCCCAGCGGAAGCCCACGATCTCCTTCAGCATTTCGTAGAGACGGTTCACGCTGGTCAACTCGCCGGTGGCCACGTTCAGTGACCTGCGGTGGCCCCTGTGGATGGCGGCAATGTTGGCCTCGACGATATCGTCGACGCATACGAAGTCCCGGGTCTGGTTGCCGTCGCCGAAGATGCGGGGCCGCTTGCCGCTCAGGATGGCCGAAATGAAAATGGCGATCACGCCTGCCTCGCCGAACGGGTCCTGGCGAGGGCCGTACACGTTTCCGTAGCGCAGGGTCGTATAGTTCAGGCGGTATTGGCGGGAGTAGAAATCCAGGTACTGCTCACCAATGTACTTGGACATCCCGTAGGGCGAGATGGGGAGAACCGGGGCGTCATCGGGGCAGGGAACCACCTCGGGCTCACCGTAGAGGGCGCCGCCGGTCGAGGAGTAGATGATCTTCTCGACACCGGCTCGGCGCGACGCTTCCAGCAGCCGCAGGGTGCCCTGCACGTTGACCTCGTTGTCGAGGATGGGGTCCTGACTGATCGGGGAACGCTTGACTGGGCCGCCAGGTGGAAGACGAGGTCCGGCCTTTCCTTGTTCAGTACATCAGGAAAGGTGGGCTGGGTGATGCTCATGTGGTGGAAGGTGGCATCGTGGTTGAGATTCTTCAGCTTGCCGGTGCTGAGATCGTCAACGATGATCACCCGATAGTTCTCTTCCACCAGTCGGTCAACCAGGTGGGAACCAATAAATCCGGCTCCCCCGGTTACCATCGCCGACCTGCGGTAGGCCATTCAACCCGCTCCTGGGCTTGATGCTGCGGCGAATGAGGGACGCCCGAGGGCTGTTACCTCTTGCCCGTTGAAAGACCTCCGGTGTAGTACCGGAGATCAACAATTCCATGATACTCCGCTACGTGTTTTTGTACAACGGACTGGCTTCCAGACAGCAGGGTTATCGCGTCTTATTACTCAGCACACAAAACTGGTCTGAACGGCGGTGGATATGGGAGTGGCAGTGCCTCCTTCGGTTCCGGGTGCGAGGGTAGACGAGGGTTTGGATTCCCGCCTGCGCGGGAATGACGACTTATAGGGCCTCCGGCGTTTAAGACGCGATTGCCTTGCTTCCAGACAGCAGGGATATCGCATTTGGGTGGTCGGATTCCGTGGCTACACAAGAAAACTATCGCGGATGTACAAAAAGGGAAGGCCCGCCAGAGGGCGATGCGTTGCTCCCTTGGGACAGGAATTTCCCACTCCTGTCCCATTTTGTCCCACTCTGTCCCAAATTTACGGTCCTCGTATCTGGATTTCTCCCAAATTGCCAGAAAATCGCGATTCCCGCCCCATTCTGTCCCACCCACCCTTTCCGTCCTGTTTTCGGGCGACCTGACGGCCCTGCCGCAGGCAGAGAACAGGCAGGGGAACAGTGAGCGGAAGGCATACGGACTATATGGTACGGAGGCGCCATGAGGCTTGGCAAGTGGCGACTGTCATCAAAATATCCAGATGCGATTGCCCCGGCTAAAATAGTTACCATAATGTTTTGTATAGCGTTCCACCCCTGATTTCAGCTATGGAGTGGCCAAATAGCCTGTGAATTGTAAAAAATTGGGACATAAAGAGTGAACATATCAATACAGGGGCAGTGTTATGTTTTCCGAGTGATTTCATAGAGCCAAGGGTCTGCGGGCATTGCCCGCGCGCTCCCGTCCGGGTCCCAGGGCTACCTTGGACCTTCGGGCGGGCAGCCTGCTTACCGGATTGTTCCGGTTCTGATGTAGTGAGTGTGTGGAGGGGACATGTTCCACCGGGTACCTTCTTTCTACTTTATTGCAGTGGCCACCACTGCGCTCATCTTCCTCCTGGCGGCGCTGTTCGCCTCGTCCCTCTCCTCCCCAGGCACCGCGCATGCCTCGCACCCCGATCTGCCTGAGGTCAGCATTGCAAGCATCACGCCGGAGGTCGGCGAGGAAGGCGGGTACTTGAGGGTCACCCTACGGCTGAGCAGGGCCCTCACGGTAGACGAGAAATTTTGCTATCCCGGTAGAGGAGCTAATGAAGATCCCAATGACGAGATGTGCATCCAGGGAGGAATCATCGCTTGGGATAGCTACAATGACCACCTGTCCAGTAGTAACGACGGTATGGTCAAGTTTGTTTTCGGTGAAGGCAATAGAGACGGAGTGCCTCAAGAAGACGGATCGATTCTGAAGCGCTGGACCGTCAGTATTAGTAATGACAGCTGCATCACGCCTGACCGCACAATTCGAATAGGGGTCAACACTGTGTTTGACGACACAGCTACTTATGGCTACCTCATCGACGAAACGGAACATACCGTTCCTATTGCCGGTAACGACGATGAAAATGGGGTTTTAGTCGCGGACGGAGGCAACTGCCTGCCCGTTGCTGAAGGCGAAACGGAAGATGTTTTTATCAACCGTGCTCCGACGTTCGGCAAGAATCCTATCACCCTTTCCGTCAACGAGAACACCGAATCAGGCGAAGACATCGGGAGCCCCGTAACGGCTAGCGACGAGGAATCCGACGACCTGACTTACTCGCTGACAGGAGCAGACGCGAACCACTTCGACATCGACTCCTCCACCGGCCAGATAATGACTGATGGCGCCCTGGACCACGAGACCAAGGACACCTACCAGCTGTTCGTTTTGGTCACCGACAACAAGGACATCTACGGCGACCCCGATTCGGCAGAAGACGACAGCATCCAGGTCACCATCAGCGTCAAAAACGTAAACGAGCCGCCGGTGTTCGACGCCAACGCACCCACGGCCCTGAATGTCGTGGAGAACACCGCTGCCAACGTGGACATAGGCGACCCAATCACCGCCACCGACCCGGAAGGCGGCACGGTTTCCTACGCCCTGGACGATGGCGACGGCGCGTCATTCGAAATCGATACCAATACAGGGCAGATCAAGACCAAGGGCGCCCTGGACAGAGAGACCAAGGGCTCCTACACCGTTACCGCCACAGCCACCGACGATGGAGGCGCCAGCGCCACCCGCGATGTGACCATCACCGTCACTGAGGCGAACGATCCTCCTGTGTTCACCGACGATAACGGGGATGTCCAGACCAGTGTCACCCGTGAGGTCGCCGAGAACACCCCTGCGGACCAGCCCGTCGGCGACCCCGTGGCGGCGATCGACGAGGAAAACGACACGCTGACCTATTCGCTGGGGGGCACGGACGCCGCGTCATTTGACTTTGAGACGACCACCGGCCAGATCAAGACCAAATCCGGAGTCGACCTGGACTACGAGGGCGGCACCACGAGCTACAGCGTCACGGTGTCGGTCACCGACGGCAAGGATATCAACGGCAATGCCGAGGGCACGCCGACGGAGGACGCCACCATTGAGGTGACCATCGAAGTCACCGACGTGAACGAGCCGCCTGCCTTCGCCGATGACCCGCCGGCTACGCAGACAGTGGCGGAGAACACCGCGGCGGATACGAACATTGGCAGCGCCTACACCGCCACCGACCCGGAAAATGACGCTCTGACCTACACTCTGGACAGCGGCAGCGCAGACACGTTCGCGATTGATGCCAACGGCCAGATCAAGACCAAGGCCGATCTCAACTACGAGGCTGATTCCAGCTATACCGTCATCGTCCAGGTCACCGACAGCAAGGACGACAACGGCGTCGCAGAAGGCACACCGACAGTCGACGACACGCACACTGTGACCATCACCGTCACTGACCAGGACGATGACGGAACAATCACATTCTCGTCGGACACGCCCGCGGCCCGGGACGACTCTTACGGCAACTCTCGAGGATGACGACGGCGTCAAGGCTACCCCTGTCGTCGCCTGGTTGTGGGAGAGCTCGACTGACCAGAACAACTGGACCACCGTCAACGGTGCCGACACCGACAGCCTCACTCTCGGTACGGGAGACGTGGGGAACTATTATCGGGTAACTGCCACCTACGATGACGAACTTGCGGGGGGCAAGACCGCGGTTGGTGAAACGACCAACCCAGTAGTGACTGCCCCGCCCACGAACCAGAATCCCGAGTTTGCCGATGCCACGGCCACCCGCGAGGTCGCCGAGAACACCCCTGCCGGCCAGAACATCGGGGCGCCGATTACAGCCACTCACGCCGACGGGCAAGGGCACCCTGGTCTACTCGCTGGACACAACCGGGGCGGATACATTCGACATCCACTCATCGACCGGACAACTGAAGACTAAGGCCGACCTGGACTACGAGAGCGGATCGACCACGTATCACGTCACCGTATCGGTCAGCGACAGCCTGGACGACTACAGTCATGCGGACACGGTGGAGGACAGCAGCATTGACGTGACCATCACAGTCACCGACGTCAACGAGCCGCCGCAGTTCGCCGACGGCGCAGAAACCGCCCTGGAGGTCAGCGAGGACACCACCATTGGCGAGGATATAGGAGAGTACGAGGCCTTCGACCCGGACGCCGGCGACACAGTGGCCTACTCAGTGAGCGGCACAGATGCAGGACTGTTCCAGGTGGATTCCTATGGTCAACTGCAGGTCGCCGACACTCTGGATCACGAGAGCAAGCCCACCATTACTGTCATCATCCAGGTGACCGACAGCAAGGACATAGCAGGTAACACCGAGACCAACCCGGTGATCGACGACACGCACACCGTAACTATCACCGTAACCAACGTCTTCGAGGACCCTCGGTTCAACGACGACAACGGGACAGGCGACACCACCCGCACCATCCCCGAAAACACCGTGGCGGGCCAACCCGTTGGCCTTCCGGTGTCGGCGACCGACGACGAAGGCGACACTCTGACCTACGAACTGGGAGGCACAGACGCCGGCGCCTTCGATTTTGACACCGCCACGGGGCAAATCAAGACCAAGGACGAGTTGGACCACGAATACATAGACACCTACTTGGTCACCGTGTTGGTAACGGATGGCAAGGACGATCAAGGGGCCGTCGAGGATCCTCCACAGGAGGACACATTTATCTATGTCGACATCGAGGTTGCCGACGTAAACGAGAAACCCACGTTTGACGCAACTCCGCCCATTGATTATCAGATCGCCGAAAACACGGCGGTGGGCACCGCAATCGACGCTGCCCTCACTGCCACCGACCCGGACCCTGCAGATACGCTGACCTACACTTTGGACAGCGATAGCGCAGCTATGTTTGAGATTGACACTTTGGGGCAGATCAAGACCAAGGCAGCCCTGGATCACGAGACCACTGAAATCTACAACGTCACCGTCTCCGTCCGCGACAGCAGGGATGACGCTGGCGATCCGGACACTGCGGACGACGATACCATCGACGTCACCATCACCGTTACTGACGAGGATGATCTTGGAACGATATCGCTGTCATCGGAACAGCCGTCTGCGGGCACCGAATTGATCGCAACTCTTGACGACGACGACGGTACCCCAACCGATGTAGTCTGGAAGTGGGAAAGCTCCACGGATAAGACTTCCTGGACCGTAATTGATGGTGCTACCGCGAACTCCTACATTCCTCAGTCGGACGATGTGGAGGACTACCTCCGCGTCACTGCGACTTACACCGACGGCCTGGGACCCAACAAAACCGCCGAGGCTATTCCAACCAGCGCAGTACTGCCTACGGAGCCTACCAACGATCTACCCACCTTTGCCGAAGACGCAGTGACGACACTGTCCGTCTTAGAAAATACTCCTGCCGGAGAAAACATCGGCGACCCATTTACGGCCACCGACCTCGATGACAATACACTCACCTACGTCCTAGGTGGCA